TCTGGCCGCTCTCTCTCTTCGTTGTTTCTAAGCCCTCTCGTTTCTAGCTCGCAGTTCTCACTGTTTGTCCAGAACTTTAACAACCGTTTTTCTCACACATCTTAGATCCCCCCTCTATCTTTCTCCCTCGTTTTGCTCTACCTCTTTCCCCTTTCCCTTCTCACTCTCTTGGAACTCGTAGACCCTGAGTTTACCAGCTAGGAGGTATCTACTCATCCACCCATCCATCCATCATCACCCATCCATCCATCCGTTCTCACTCTCGCCTTCTTTCCCCCAGTCACCACTTCTAACTCATCACATCACTCACCCCTTCTCACTCACCCTTCTCACTCTCCCATTTCCCCTTCCTAAACTCGCTCTTTCTGTTCTCCGACTAGCTTCCTTTCCAGTGCTTCACACTGTTATTATTTCCTTCACTCAAGCCTTTCCGCACCCTAAACCTACTCCTTCACACATATCCCCCCCCCCCCCATATACCCCCATCCACCCCCCCTTCCCATCCTCTTCACCCCTCCACCCCTACTCTTCATTTCCTTTCCTTTCCTTTCCTTTCCCACCTCCTCTCGCTTCCTTTTCTCTCGCCCGTTCGCTTTTTCTCGACGACACATCGCTGTGGATTTGTCACTCTCGCTTCTTGACCAAAATCCGCTGCCGCTGTCTATTTCGTCTTTACTGTAATCACATTAAAGCATCAACGCCTCTTTAATTGAGCTTTATACAATATGACTACAGAGGCATTATCTGCTGCTCCCCCTCCTCCCCCACCCCCTCCTACAGTGATGGACGTGGATAGGTCACCGTCAATCACCCATGCTCCGTCCGTGGCAGCGACAACCACCTCAAAATCTGCTAAATCTTTGAGCGCAAGTCCTGGGAAGAACTACTCACCTCCGAAAAAGGTAGCTTCAGCTCCATCGGAGGATTCTGCGCGCTCTCCAGACCTGTATGTTTCACTTCTTCTTCTGCTCTGTCTGTCCTATACATTGCTCGAGACTTCTGACATTGGCGCGCAATAGGAAACGTAACGAATTGCCAAAGATCATTGTAAAGAAGGAGCCAACTTCTCCCGGTCCCCCCTCTCGCCATCGCCCGGCAAAACTCAATCTTTCCAATGCTCCCAATACCTCTTCCGGCGCTGCCACTCCGCGCACCGCGAATGGCAACCTAGCCACTATTCAAGATGTCGGCATGGCTTGCCTTTCCCCAGGTTTTTCTACCCAAGACCCCACAATGCGGGAGCAACTCCAACGTAGCATCTCCGTGCGCGAAGCCCAACGTTCGATAATTGAATCACGGCTCCATCGTCACGCAAAACCCAACGCAGAACCAAACTCGAGGGCTGATCGCGATGAACCGCCCGCATCTGCACGTGATCGTAGTGATCGGGGAAGTGATAGGTCTGCCCATACACCAAGGAGAAGACCCCCAAACAGCTTGACAATAGTTCCCCCATCCCATCGTGCGTTTGCCCATGAGCGAGTTGTACAATCGGCCCCTCTACACCAATCATTTACAGGCCGACACCACCCCCCACCGCCGTCCCATCATAACTCTCAACAACATCCTCAGAACCAAGAAGTGAACCGTTTACCTCCCATTACTGATGTTGTTTTCGGCCCCAATCGCCTGGACTCAGCCCGCGGCATCAGGCCCCAGGAAGAGAGCTCTAGCCGACAGTACTATCCTACCACAAGGCCTGCATACCCATCGCCAAATAATATGGCGTATCCCCGACCGCGCGAGCATCGTTCTGCCGAAGAGGCTATTGCAAATATGTCAGGTGGTCGGGAAGAGTTGCTGCCGCGAATAATTCACTATGGAGGACACCAACCACCCACCCCACCCAGCCCACCACAGGCACCAGCACACACCCCATCAAAATTGATGGTCAATGGTGTGCAAGAGCACCCACCACACTCCAGCGGGACCAAGCGAAGACGAACAAGGGAAGACTATGGGGAACGAGATGGTAGCTTTGGAAGCGAGGATAGCCCAGATGCGAAACGAAGGAAGAAGGAAGAGTTTTTGTCGTTGTGCGCAAGAGCGTGGGAGTTGTTCCATTCTTGATTTAATAGCCGGGAGCTATGGTTTGTTCGATTTTTTTTTCTTTCCTGTTCGTTCCTAAAATCATACTCGTTTCATTTACCTTACATTGTGCTTTTAACATTCTTGTATCTCATTTCTCACCTCTATTTTTCCAAGTTTCTCTTTGGTTTGGGAACAGGTTATTGGGACGGGGCTGGACTGGGCGGTATGGGAGGAGTCTGGGAAATCCGGGATCTCTGGGGAAAAAAGAGTACACTAACAATACTCGAGGTTTATAAGCCGGGTTTTCTTTATTTTTTTTAACGTTGCAACGCGAAACGGCTGTTTAGCGTATGGGACAAAAAAAAGGCTGCTGGACGGGTAGGGACGGGGACAGTGTCGGATTTTTTGCTATTTTTTATTATCTTTTTTTTTTTTTCTCGTGTACAAGGAGTCTTCTTTTTTTTGTTGTATCCACCATATCTCTGTTTTCTTGTTCTACTTTCTACAGAAGATAATAATTGCGTGGAGGTTTGGTTATTATCAGTTCATGTTGCTTGGGGGGCATATCTTTCTTTATTTTATTTTACTTGAGTTTTTTTTCATCTCACATTTTGGTTACATACAATACCTCACCTATTGCTTGCTTTTACATATTACCACAGCCTCATTATTTCCACCTTACCTACTTCTTATTTCTTTAGTATTTTTCCTTTTTAGCTCCCTTGAACACGGGTCCTCTTTCCTTGCGTTTTTCTTATTCGGGCTGGCTATTATCTATGGGATGTGATTTTCTTTTGACTGGGGCTGGGGAAGGCGGACGGGACCAAATGGGACATGGTGGGAACTGTGCGAATTTGATCTGCAATGAGAGCAGCGCGGGCCGTCCGGGTAGGCCGGGGCGCGCGGATGGGTCGGATTTTTCTGTTTTATTTCTTATTTCTTGATATTGCTGGTTGGTCGGTTGATTTTGGGCGCTGCTGCGAATGGATAGTGAATATACATACATAAGTGTGCGATAACTGTTGGTCCAAGAAATTATGGAGGGCGGTGATGTGCACGAGTGATGAGCTGTGAACTTGTGGTGGTTGGTAGGGGTAACTCGGTTGAGCTAGTACTGTAAGAAATGCGGTAACCACCTGAGACAACGATCAAAGAGCTAGAAGGCGGAGCCCCCCTTGAAACAGGTTACTGAAAGATTTACTACTACTAGCAGTGGCCTCAAAGGCTAGGGTGTGCCAAGGTTTTCAGAATGGTTATTGTTTAGTAGCGTGGCACTGCGGAAGAATACCACCAACCACGACAGCAGTGTGATAAGGAGATGACTTTCTTGGGCAAATAGGGTTTTCACTCACGATAGATATTCAGTCATAATTTGTCATAGCTACTAAGGTGCGTATACGTATACGGGGAGCATTATCATCGGCCTGAAGAGGTCAATATAGTCCGTTCACTCACTGGGGGGTTCGTTCTACGTGTATACGTATGCTTGATACGCAACATGTGTGAACGAGCGTCCTGTGAATTTAGATTTTTTTTTTTCTTTTCAGATTTTATGTTTGGTGGGGGGATGACCCAGCCCTATATCAAAAAAGACATATACCTGAAACCGCACGTCTCCAATAAAAAAAGTTTGTTCATCCTTTTTTCCATATACGTAATACTGCCACTTTGGGAGTAGCTCGGATTTTGCACACTGGGTGAAACATCTCCAGACGGTGGAAACCATTGACATTGAAGGGCTTTCTCAGCCTAGTGCTCGCTTACTACTTACTGATACCGATAGGCATGTCTAATAATTTCTTGTTTCTTGGGGCTTTCCCATGTGTAGTAGCGATAGCCATCTTGTATTAGTAGCACAATCTGAGCACAAATGTTACTACTAATCCAAAAATAAAACTTGATAAAACATGTCTCCTTAGAGGAGCTCTAAGAGATGCCCGCCGATTATGACTCGAGGTCTCTTAAAAATGGGGTAAGTCATGGTGGTTTTATAGTTATGTGGCGCTTTTATGATTCGATGGGACCATATCGAGGAAATGGGTACAACATCTCTAGATATCATTCACCTGAGAAACATAGCGAGTGTTTCCAGTGCAAAGTTAATAAGCCCGTAAGAGAAGTTAAAAGTCTGGACACGGGGTGTAAGAGCTAGAGAAAGTCATGTGTCCATTTCTAATGCTGCTATCAGTAGGTTTTTAGATGTTTCACATTTATGAACTTTCACAAGTGCGAACTGGAACTTTGGGTCAAGATAGATCATCTGATCTGACTAGATGGGGTTGGACTTGGAATTTCCCACACGTTCAACCACATGATACGTCTATCCAACTACTGGAGTGCCGGAGGAGAAATGTTTGCACTTCTTGAGAAAATATGATCCCTCTGCTTCATCCTCAAGTTTGTAATTTTGAAGGAGTCCACAGTCTACATGTCTGCACAGACCAGTCCAACAGTCTCCCCCAAATAAAAAGAGAGTCAAAAAGAAATGCAGGTAACCACACCAACAAACCGGCCTAGTAGTTTACATCAAACCTTCACTGTTGTGAAGGGGAAATAAAGGAAAGATGATGAAAAGGGACCCAGTACTCGTACATGACAAAAAGGACAAAAACGAAAAAAGAGAGGAAAAAAAGAGCCGCGCGCGCCGTGGATGTTCCATTCTTTACCGACAATCATGAAAAACAAAAGAAAATGAAAGAAATGAAAAAAAAAAGAAGAAAAAAGGGTGAACTTTGAACGAATATCTCTATTCGATTCAAATCGTGTCCCGACGTCCTCTGAACTCCCCAGAAGGCAAAAAAATAAGAGCGGGGGAATGAGTAGGGAGAAGACTATAGAATGACTAAAAACATAGATCCAAAGACCGATCTGTAAAGGTGCAAAATTATATACCTGAAGGAAAAGTCGAAATTTAATCGAAGATGAGGATTAAAGTGTAGTAAGTTTGAGAATGAGATTCATTGCTCCCCTTAGCGCCGAACTTGATTGCTATTGGTATTGGGAGGGAGCCCGGGCGAGCCGTGACCGTTTACCATCATGGCCTGAGGTGCTGGATGGGCATGTTGGGTCGTCATCATTGGGTATTGCTGGCCATTGGGAATACGATGTTGTGCATGCTGTGGGGATTGCTGGTATGGCGACTGTTGTTGTAGCAGCTGGGCGCTCGACATGCCTGGATGGACATTCATCATTTGCGCTTGCTGTGTATTGATGGTCAGGCCTTGATTTCCTTGGGGCATTGCGGAGGATCCCATAATTGATCTACGATGATGTGGGTGATATGATTGAGTTTCGGGTGGCGGCGAGAGCATTCGCGCTCGAAATTGTATGTTACTGTGATAGGAAGTAAGCATCAACGTGAAGCAAACGCTCAATGATAGAGATTCAACTTACGTGTCGTTGTTAATGTCCACATCATACACTTGGGGATAGCAATCTTCTTCTCGATCGTACTTCATACGATCCCAAACAATTTCTTCCACATCAGGGAGTGGCTCAAATGCTGGTAACCTTCTATCAATCCGAACGCGTCCGCCACGCCCCACTCTTCGACGGAAGGTAGGAAGATTTCTCATAGGCGCCTTTTTAGGAGAGGCTTGTATAACTGAGATGTGCCTCTGAGCTTGTTGATGGCTCGGGCTTGACTCCGGAGAAGAATCCATAGAGTCAGCTGATGCTGGAGGGCTTGGGAGGAAATATGTTTGTACTGCACAAAACGCAGCATTGGGTCCTGTTAATTTGGGGGTTTCGTTCTCAAAAAGTACATCCTAAAAGGAGAGTCAGAATATAGATTTGGATGAATGGTTCTTCAGAGAACAAACCGAAGTCAAGTCAATAATGTTATATTTAGGAACAGTCCTCGAGTTCTTCAATTCGAGGTGACGTTCTGCTCTTTGCTTCTCCTTATCGAGCTTGAAATTTGATAGCTGCCGGAGATCTGCCTCAGGCGGCTTCCCATCCTGGCGCCCAGGTATCCGGGTGCTGGATGTTGAATCGACTGGTCGTGGTTTCTTCGGCTGTGTAGATGATGGCTGGTGAGCAATAAGCACATGATATTATAAATGGGTTTAAGTAATGGGGGGGGTTCATACCTTTGCAGGTATAAGATCTTCGTCGTCCCCTCTGATACCCAGTTTTCGTTTTGTTGCAATTAACGTACGCCGGTGCTCAAATATCGAAGCTTCGTATGCGAAGCCAGTCTTACGCATAGTCTCACGCTGCAAGACATCTTTGACAAGATTCCGTGCAGTATCAAGTTCTTGCCGAAGTTTCTTAACCTTATCGGTGCTTTGAGCATCCGTTCTTCGGGTCTTTCGGACCTGTCGAACTTCACGTCGTCTAAAACAAACGTATGGGTCGCCGTCATCCTTTTCATTTCCTTGCTCAAACTAGATACGACCTTAGCAACAAGAATTTTATTAAAAGAGGTGCGACAACATACCTTCAGTACGGGAATGATAGCACGCCCTTCTCGGGCAACCTTTGTGTCTTTCCAATGCTGATATATGTGCTTTGCAAATATCCTTAACTTATCACTAATAATACCATCAAAGGTAGTCTCTATTTCTTCATATGAAATAATAGTTGAGACATCCATCGATAAATATGGCTGCCTTTGCAAAGCAGTTTTCTCAAAATGGTCCATAATGAGTTCAAAATCATTGACCTTGCATTGGGCCCCATTAGGACGTTTAGTTATTGCATTTAGTTTCTCAAGGTATTTTTCATCTTCAGTTGATACACAGTATGCGACACCACTACAGTCCTCAACTGTGGAGGAAAACCGAATGTAGCTCGCCGGTCGGTCAAACCGCCGTGGATAGAGCGATTCATAGTGCCGAGCTTCGATTTCAGCAGTGTTGGGGGTTGGAATAAAGATTTGTGTAACTTTCGCGCCAACAACGGCGGCTTGTGAGGCTGATATAGCAGCTTGAAGATGGTGCTCCTACGCATCGGGAAACGGCATTAGCTATGCGTGTTGAGAATACAAAAATGTAACAAAAAAATTATTAAAATGAACAGATGCGATAAAAAAGTACATATAATTAATTTGAAACAAAAACAAAAGACATCCAGTCATTCTCATACACCAAACAAATGGTGATTGTTGTGATGGTGTTGCATATCAAAAACTTCTTGTTCTGGAAGGAAACTATCGGGTGGTGTTCCAAAAATAGCACCTGAGAGGAGAAGAGGACAACGCACGATTTCTTCTTGACGCTCAACGCCCGTCTCTATCGGTGGAATATTTCTTTGCGCATCGTCGTCTACAGAGTCGATTTGATTCTCTCGTAGGACGGCCAGGGACTGCTTCGTTGACAGTTTTCGCTGTCTAAAGCGATTCCCTGCACCCGACCGAGTCATGGTGGCGACTCAGACGCGAAAAAATCGTCTTGACGATATTAGATTCAGGTGAAAGAGCGAAGCTCCGAGTTTGATGGACACGCGAGGGAAGTGATGAAAACTGATGGTATTGAGCGGTCGCAAGGGCTGAAAGAATCGTCGCGACCCCTATCTCCTGTGGTGTTGAGGTCGGTCTATGCCACTAAGCAGAGCCTTGTTTGGCTGTATTGCATGTGTTGTTGTGGACGTACTATGGCGCTAGTCTCTAAGGGGAAAGATGCGGTATGACCGTGTTGAAAGGCTTGGTAGCTACGTTCCCAGATATTCGCTACCCCTGGCAGCACAATTCCCAAATCTACTGTGCCGTAAGGAGCAAGGGACTGCTGATACAGCTTCTCCCTATCATCCATCACGTCTACCGCAACAGCTGCAACAGCAACAGCCTGCAACAGATACTCCCACTTTGTCGACAGCCGATATATCACCACCGTTTCAGTGTCAATTCAGTTCGTGCAGCAGCTATGGGTCAAAACTCTTCCCAAATTATGGATAGCATTGTGTCTGGATCAAATTGTTTGCCTATCCCCACCCCCGCTCTCGATAAGCTATATTCGCGGTTCCTGGGTACTGAACGTGTTACACAGTCGACCGCGATGAGGTAGATCGACTACGAAAGAGGTTTATGAAGCTGGACAAGGTGTGTTCCTAATGTTTTCCGGCAGTTTTTTCGTTCTTGGAGAAAGGGATCAAGGTCTCACTGCGGGGTCGTTATCATGCAGGACAACTCTGGAACCATCGAACGTGAGGAGTTTTTGAGTCTTCCTCAAGTTTCTTCGAACCCACTTGCTACTAGGTAAGTCACCGCCCTTATTTTTTCATTTCTACAAACGAATAAAAAGAAAAAAAAAAGGAAGTGGAGTTTCGAACACACGGCTTATAAATCCCAACAGGATGATTGCCATCTTTGATGAGGATGGTGGCGGAGATGTCGACTTCCAGGAGTTCGTTTCCGGGCTGAGCGCCTTCTCTAGTAAGGGGAATAAGGAGGAGAAGCTTCGGTTCGCCTTCAAGGTCTACGACATCGATCGGGATGGCTATATCTCAAATGGTGAGCTATTCATCGTCCTTAAGATGATGGTTGGCAGCAACTTGAAAGATCAGCAATTACAGCAGGTACGTTCCGACTCCCCAATTTTTCTTAGATTTAGCCCCTGCATCTGTCCCAAGCCCCAAAATTCCAAATTCCATTGCCCAACACCCTTTAATTCGCCCCCACACACAATAATAAACACGCGCGCACGTGCACATGAAATGAGATATCAAAATAAGGCTTTTGACTAATGTATGTCTCACAACTTCTATTTCCAGATCGTGGACAAAACGATGATGGAGGCCGACGAAGACTTGGATGGGAAGATCAGCTTTGAGGAATTTTGCAAGATGGTGGAGAACACTGATGTGTCCATGAGCATGATGACCTTGGACCAATTTTAGGCAAATGTCGGTCCCATTAAAACTGCTTGCGTAATGATCGTAGAAGAGTATTGGTTCTTGATTTTCTGGTTTTTTTTTTTTTTTTTTTTGATATTGTCCCCGTGAACTATGAATCAATCGGTAGAGAAGCTCTTTTTTTACTTTTTTTTTTACTGCACTTTTTTTTCCCTATGGTGGTTTTCCGGGACCAAGGTTATCTATCCCGTATGATACCCATTGCTATTCCAGTTGTTTACGCTTCTTCAAGGCAAACTAAGCCACCAAGTACAGATCGCCGTGACGAGGCGGCAAGACCAGGATGTTACATGCGGAATATTCTCCCCCCCTCGTGCATTCGCCTCAAATTTAGTAGGAGCTCGTACTACCATCTACTCCTTATGGTGATACGGGAGTTCCCTGCGCCCATCGCTCATCATTTTTTGCACTCCCGGCGTTTGTTTTTATATCAATTTTTTTTTAGCGAAAACCGCTTGTTGACATCAATCTTTAGAGTATAATTTGTATACTAAATAAACAAAAACCAAATCAAATGATATACCCCATATGAGTCCGTCTCTTGATAATACATACAAATACATGCGCGATAATCTATAACCCCAGTAACTCCACGACAGGTACCAACCCCAACACCGATTTAGACCCCGAAATCCGAAACATCTATCATGCTTGTACAAAGGAGAAGAAGGCAAAAAAGAAGAAATGAGCGACAATGAGATTACAAAAGAAAATTGTTAAAAAAAGGCTGCTTGTTATATCGCCGCTTCATGGTAATTGATCTATGGAGTGGCTAATTTAATTGTTGTCCCAGGTCGGGGGTCCCGAAGAGGCGCGAGTCGTGTTCAACGAGACGGCATGTTTCCAGTTATACGGTCGGGGGTGTCTAAGGCGCGGCTGAAGCTGAAGCAGATCTTTCTGGTGGCGCACCAGAGCCCTCCAACAGATCCAGGCATTCTTGGATCGCTATACAATACATGGTCCGTGAGTCAACAATAATCGTGCCTAAATAGGTAAAAGCAATTATTCATGGGTAACCATACCTCCTAGTATCTCTTCTTCCCATACCCCCATCTGGTAGTCTACCAGGCCATGCCTTTCCATGGAATCGCATAGTGCGATCAACTCCCGTCCCATCCTCTCCAGCATATCCTCCCGAATGATTTCTCGTGGGGGCAGAGGCGCCTGGCCCGTAGCGTTGAACTCGGTAATCATCTCCTTCTCCTTTTGTAGTACTACCAACCAGCAAGTGTTGAATTCGTTCCACAACCTTGTCCGGTCTCCGTACAATTCTTGCTCGTCGCGAACTAATCCTGTCACTGTTCTCAGCCCAAATTACTAAACAACTCTTTTCCTTGCGCATACTAGCAATAAGATAGAGTATCCTGGAAATAAATTAAATGAAATTTTGTGCATACCCAACTCAACAGCATTTGTTAATAACCAGTCGGAAATCGTGAGGAGCGATGTCCCTGCCTCGCCCAATCGACCATCTTGCATGTTTTGAAACGTGCGTTTCAAGGCGCCTTGATACTGATTGTAAGCATCATCCAGGGCCGCGGCGTGATGTTGTTGCGCAAATTCATTATCATTCTGAACTGGTTCCGGCGCAGTCGGCTGGTTCAATTCTGGAAGGTTGGAAGTGTACGTATGTGGAAGCCGACCTGGAGTGGGACTGTACTGAGCGTACGAAGGACTTGAAAACTGTGAGGACGATTGGTGATGTGGAGCAGAGGTTGGTGAGTCTCCGTAGTATTGAGAAGCACCAGAAAATTGACTCGATAGTACTTCTATCGCAGCATTCTGTCGTGGTGGGTAACCCGGCGCATAGTTAGAACCCTGTGACGGTTGAGGGATGTTGTATACAATATGGTTCGAGGCGTAAGATGGGTGTTGCTGTCTGTACTGAGCTTCCTGAGAATATTCGTTCTGGTAGCTTATGGGATTGAGCAAAGGTTGTCCATATGACGGTTGTGAATCGTCCCCATGACGCGCTGATGGTCTATCCCTATCACTTCCTTCCATGCCCCTCAGTGTAAAGAATCCGCTGTCTGCGACAAATTGGTTATGATAAGTCGTTGCCCCGCTGGCGGCAGGCAGAACGAGAGAAGTTGTTGACGTCAGTTTGCTGGTATTGAGAGATATTGTGTCGAGGCTGTTGCATGCAGATATCTGCACGTATTGAGTAGTAGGTGGTAGTGATATATTCTCGTCGAGTTCGTGGCAGGAGGCAGGAAATGGGGGCTTTATTGAGTGGAACTGGCAAGTGAGATCGAGACGGAGGTGAAGCAGTGGTTCTTATTGAATGGAGTGAGTTGCAGTAGATGGTGGATCATTAAAATCAGATCGCTTGCTGTGCCGGAGAGCTTATATGTGTGTGCAGATGGGAGTGACCTTGTACTAATGACGAATCCCGTGCTGACTGCTTAACGAGTAGCGAAATCCAGGGAGAGGCTAGACTGTAGAGGGGCACAGCTGGTTGGCAATATGGACAGTACCAGGTAGGTGTGTGTGTGTGTGTGTGTTGTCCTCGCTGACCTTAGGACCTTGGATCGATGGATCTGCCCTGGCTACTTCCTTCCAAAATCTCTGGGGGATTGCCGCAGATGTTCTGGAACGTCAGAGCAGGTGGGTTGATGCTTGTGAAGAGATGAGGAAGGATGTCCGAAGTAGTCTCCGTTAGACTTAGTGAGTATTTCTTCTCGATCAGTTGTTTTTTTTTTTTAGCTCAGGGACCCTCACGGGCCGATTGGATAGTGGAGCGAGTCTTGTAGGACGTATGAAAACCGGCCCCCAGAAATAAATAAAAAGCAAAAGGGGGTTTTAGCAGCAAAAGAGTCAAGTCCTCAAGAGTGAAAAGGAAATACGGTGTGGGACCTGCCCTACTTTGGAATCTGGAGATGAGAGTGAGAATGAGGCTGCGGACGTTGAGAGGAAGAGGAAATAGCCTCATACACGATTTCCAGATCTGGAGCTAGGTATGTAGGAGTTGATATGTATATAGCTAGTGGGAGAAAAGCTATCCTATCTAAGTACGGGTTTAAGTTCGGAGAGTAGTAGATTTCCTGCAGGAGGCTTGTCCGGGGAATTGTTATTGTTATGGGGCTCCAGTCAGAACTCTGTAAGGGCTAGGGTACAACATCATGGCAGGCAGAAAATAAGGACGATGAGAGGAAATGAGGCTTCCAGTAGCCGAGCTATGGGTGGAACAATCGACAAGCATTTCCAGAGATCGGAGGGGCTATTGTGGAGGGTGGCAGAGTAGCTGAGCGGCGGGGGTGGGGTGTGGAGGTGATTGAAAGGGGACAAGAGCGGCGGCGGTGGGCTTGTGTGGAGAAGAAGTCAAGAGTAGAAGAGTGGACAGATGTGTGGTGGTTGTGAAGGGAGAAACATCTCGGACGAACAGTTCTAGAAAAAAAAAAACTAAAGCTGCAAGGGCGCCCGCCTCATCAGATGAGATGACGATGACTTGATTATGAGATGGATGTTGATCCCGAGGAGTAGTAGCAACAAACAATAGTAGCCAGTAAAATCGGGAATATTCAAAAAGCAAAGCACGATAGCAGCATCACGAAGCTCTCGTACATCCCACAACATGTGGGATGATCGCTGCCAGCGAAGCTGTCACGATGTTCACAGTGGAACATTCCCAGTTAATTTGCGGAGGTATAGATCGACGGCTTCTATTCATCCAGGACCCCACCGTCGACCGACACCATTGGCATCGTGGGCGGGAGGTTCGAGACCCTGAGTATCATTTGCAAATCTTTTTCCATTTTTGGACTTTGGTACCTTTCGTTCCCTGGAAGTGGTAACTGTTTCTCTAAGCAAGATACCGATTCGGGTTAACGAATCGGTTTGTCAATCGCCGACTGTCGTTCGTTCTTAGTCTCAGTTTACCTCTCGCTCTATCTCATACCCTCTCTCGAGAGATCTCTCATGCTCTCTTTGACCTCACACTCTTTCTCCGAACGATCCCGTATCTCTCTTCGCGCGTGGTTCTGCTTCTGTCTTCCCGCTCTCGAGCCCGCCCTCGTCTCACATCCTGCACCCGACAGTGAGGTTCAGGCAAGGCGAGACATTGCAAAGACGGGGAATATTGAGCAGGGCATCATGTGTGAGTGAGTCTCCGCATCATCCTCTGCTATTGCCAGAAATTAATAAAGCTTCCTCTGAATGGATCAAAATATGACGCAAGCAAAAGATATTGCCCGTCCGCCTAATAATCTTTTTGCCCCCCCCCTTGTTTTCTTTTCTTTTTCTTTTTTCTTCTTTCATTCCTTTCAGCAGCTGGGCGTGCGTACCACTCACCGTCGTTGAGTTGAGTTGCTTTGTAAAGGAAACTCTCTCCCTCTTGCTCTCCCTCCAGTTCCTCTCACACGACAACGTGGCACCCAATGCAGGGTTCTCGTCCCATCTTACAAAGTACCCTGCTGGAGCTACGTTAGAGGGTATCATTCATGTCGGTTCCCGTCGTTCATCACTGCAGATGTAAATCTTCCATCTCTATAATCTGAACCCGAGTTCCGAAGTTGGGCTTAAGCACCCACGGTAGATGGTAGATACATGTAATACCTACATAATAACCTGGCATGGTCATCCACAACTAATTGCTTGACTGATATTTTGTTTCTGCGCTCAGATGAAATGGCCGCCGTATGGATCTCTTCCGTCGACTGACAGTACCACGTTTCCCTGACGTATTTGTTCCTGCTAATGAAAAGCAAATGATGGCTCCCTGTACATTTTAACCAGATTGCGACAGTCTTCTTGAAACGTGTGGCGCTTTTCCCCAGGAGGCTGGTCGTAATAATAGAGAGGTCAACTTGCCAGAGGCCTAGGGATGGGGTTGCGCCGTCGTCTGATGATCCTGAATCATGATCAGATGCAGTCATTGGGCCCATGGTGCCGAGACGGACCCAGTACTAAAGTGAAAGCCAGGAAAAGGAAAGAGACCAGAAACAGCCGGTCCGCACCTGCAGCAGAAGTGAGTTCCAATAACAAACCCCCATCGCATCGCAACACAAATCCTGCCTATGACTACCGAACCCAACTTTAGACACTGATTAGACTTACATAACAGGCGCACCTTCTTCTCCACGATCTAAGCCTAAGCCTATTTTTCGCTTCCATACCCCGTACAACCGTTGGTTTGAGTCTTGCGTGCAGGAAAGCCTTAAAGATACTTGAAAAAATGTCGCAAATACCCCCAAGGATGATGAAATGATCGTGGTCCACGCATGAACTTTGCATCTCGTAGATAGTGGTCTAACCAAATTTGCTCCGAAACATATACTTACTACTTGAGAACAGTCTTTATCTCTGTACCACCTGAGGTCGGGACTTTGAGTGTTAGCCAGTCGGTCGCAATGACATCCGACCAAAAAAGGGATGTTTTCTGGAAACACCTAGGCTTCTTTAATTTCCGAGCTCGCGGGTCACCAACACCCCATTGGTATGTCTGCATGAGCGGATAGGGAATGGTGGAGTCTGGAGAAAGGGAGAAACATATTGAACCACCGATCAAGACCAACACTATTAATTTCCACATCTTGGGCAATCAATAACTTTCGTGAACGGCCGGGAGAGTCCGAAAATGATATCATCAATTGATTGATATCATAGATATTGCTATACACTTAGGGAAATATCATGGAAGCCTCAAGAGAACAATTTTAATGCCAGCGCGTTGTCAAAAATAAGTTGGGCATGGAAGATGCCGGTTGTCATTCGGCAATGGTCCGAGAGAACCGCTTCTCCCGCCTCAATCATCCTTACAAGCGCGATGGGATTGCCGTAGTTGCTAGATGGCGGGCATATGGCATAAAGCTGACATTCGGCCGTTGAGCTTTTTTTCTTTCCTTTTTCTTAATCTTCTCCTCCTTTTGTTCCAACTTCCTTACGTCTGTTTTTTATTTTCTTTTTCTATATTCCCCAATTCTAGTTGAGTGGTATTGTAGATACCAGGGCAATTGCTAATCTACTTCAGTCTTAGAATGATACAGTTCGTCCGTAGTGATGGTCACCAACCGGTAATTATTTACCCCAAAACCCTGTCCAAGTGATGATGCGCTTAGCCTGAGCATTCCGGTGTGTGCATTGCAACGGTTGTCGCGAGTCGCGAGTCCCCGTCACACTAGTCAGTAGACATGAATCCTAAAGAACACATCCGGTCTGGCTGAAACAAAGAAAAGATCGTGGAACCGTGGAATTCGGCAAGCAAGCAGGATATGGTATGGCATCCCGACATGGAACATAGGTTCTTCCACGAACGGCCTTTTAACATTGGTACATTGCAATTCGTACGACCTCGACTCCGCAAAAAGTACTGTAATAATAATAAATTTATTTTAGTCGTCGAAAGCCTTATTTGCTGCCTCATCTATCATACCATCCAAGGTTACGAAACCCCATTTGTATCCGAGGCAAGCAAAACCGCGCATCATGTTTCCGATCGTGAGATGGGGGTAAAGTTATACGTTATTCGTTCAATTCAATTCCGTTTATATCCGTTCCGAATTCCTTGCATGTTTAGATACATGTATTTTTTTCGTTCCCTTATTGCGTGTGCCATGACCATGCGTAAGCACCAATAAGGAGGACTGGGCGAAAATTACCCTCGGTGATGATATGTTTATCTGAATAGTGGGCCGGGAGGGATCGATGGATCCCGCCCTATCTGCCAGTCTGAGCGAAGGGCAACTTGCTGTAAGGCTTAGGTTTAGGTCGATTCCGGATCGACGCGAGCAGACAGTTTCACTCATTTCTGGGGACGGCATCCGTGAGCCCTAAAATTGTACTCTGGGCTTTCCCTGGCAAAACTGACGAACGGGGTGGAACGATCACCACGTGTGATGGGATTTTAGTTGTAGCGATTGCGCATTAACTGGGTACTAGTAATAACACCGACGACCAGGAGAGACATAGATTGAGACCTAGGATCTGTTGATAGATCTATGGAGTTGCCCTCAACAAATCAGAATCATAGGTTTACTCAGTCAAGTATATTGCCTTATCAATAAATCTTCAAATGAAATTCATGTAATATAGCATTACAAGGCGCGTAGAATTGAAAGAAAGGGAGAGAAGAATAAAAAAGATTTGCATGAAGGATACAAGATTAGAGCTGCCTGTGATGGACTGCAGTTTCCTCGGCGTGTTAAAATGTGCCTCTACGCCCTTATTCTAATTTCTTGTGTCGAGCGCCCACCAATTGCAGGGGAGATTTTTCTCCTACTCAATTTATTCGAAGGAGGTTAATTAACTACTAGAACTATTGTGGGTTCAAGCATGTTGAGAAGTCGCACGATGGTACCTTGATCGACCCCAGGTACTTTCTAACTACAAACATAACCCTGACCGTTGTAGAGTAAATTGGCATGTAGTACCGAGCTTATCCCGATATTGCTGACAGAGAAGAAATTCACAGGACGGTAGCACTGCATGCAATAGTACCCACAATCTCGAGAGGAAATCCGTTTTACCCCAGTATTTTAAAGTAACAGTACTATCAAATCCTTTACCATATGAATTGTGCACGGAGAAAAGACCGTATAAACCCGACAAGCTTCTACTCTAGATTTTTCCATCTCAATGAATTAGTCGAACAACGCATCCTACATCCTTAACCTGTAAGCCTTACATTCTTCAAGGTTTATCCAAATAAATAACGACAAAATGAGAAGGGGGGGGGGGGGGGGATGAAGGGAAAAATACCAGGCCTCTGGGGGAGGGGTACAAGCAAGCACGGTCCCCACATGACGTGGGTAATATTCTAGAATGGAGTTATAGGTGTTTATAGGCGCATGGTCAGGCACGCTATCATTCAGAAGAAAAAATTCGCGAACCAATCTGTACATAGAAAGAGTAAAAGAGTAGATAGAGAAGCTTCTTCCGATCTGTGTTGGTTGGTTGGGTGCATACATTAGTATCCAGGACAGGCCAGGAAACCCATGTTGCAGTCGGTCGTGCGTGCGCTTATTGATTAGATGATGTTCTGCCGCCGATTGATGTGCCATGATTAAACCCTAACCCTTGCATATGTAGGTGCATGTGACGTCCAACTTCCGTTCCTTGGAAGATTCTCTAGGAAAATAATATATTATTGTTGCTGTCACGTGCTAATCCTGTTTCCAAAATCTTTTCCAAGTTCGCTGGACATCTCCCATGCGGTCCGTTTCATGATGGAGAGTCCGAAAACAGGAACTCTGAACAGTGGCAAAATTTCGGGGCTGAGGTTGTCAGCTGGCGAAGCGATGACCACGATGCCCATGGTGTTTTGATGGTCTTAGACTTGGAATTATTTGTTGTCAAGGAGATCAACCAAGATATCCAGGCCAGAGCTGCTGGGAGTCACAGCCACTTTTGAAATGTGTGAAGTGGCTCCTCTCAAACGGGCTTGTCAATTGTGTAAAATGCGGGTGTGCGATGGCGAAAAGTCAAAAGGATGTTGGAGGTGCATATGCAATGCCCAATGCCCTATGTGATGGGCAAAGTCAACTCAAAATTTGAGGTGGGGTGCAATGGCGCTTAGTCAGAGCGGGGCACACAAATTTCGTTACCCCTCTTCCAACTTTCTCATGGTTTTTTTTCCCTCTCTCTCGCATCAAACATCTCTCCAATCCCCTACATTTCTCCCTTTATTCTCCTACATATCCTGCAATGGCGTTCGGAAAGATCTACAGTTACCCCGTACGTGTCCCTGTTGAGCCTTGCTTTCTGCCTCGCTTTTCATCCAGTTGATTTCCTTCAAATTGAGTCACAGTTATATTGACATATTTTGGCTTTTCTAGCAAAACCCTCGCACAACTGTTCTCTTAGCTGTTGCTAAGGCAAACGGTCTTGATGTCGAGCTTGTCGTTGAGGAGCCTTCCAAGGGTGTGAGCGCTGAGTACCTCAAGATCAACCCCCTCGGAAAAGTCCCCACCTTCCAGGGCGAAGATGGATTTGTCCTCTCTGAGTGCATCGCTATCGCTATCTACTGTGAGTTTCCCAAACTTGATATATCTCTCCAGCTTGGTTTGCCTGGGTGCTACAGCAAATCCCTCGCCGCGTGAAATATTCGCCTCTGAATTTTCGTATTGCAATCTTGTGCCTGAGCTATCATGTACCTATTTTTTTTTTCTTTTCTTGAGATCATGAGATTTCTGTGTTCGCACTTGCTCATAGACACCCATAGTTGCCGCCCAAAACGAGAAGACTACTCTTCTCGGAAAGACCAAGCAGGATTATGCTCAGATCCTGAAGTGGATGTCTTTCTCCAACAGTGAGGTCCTCTCCAACCTCGGTGGCTGGTTCCGTCCTTTGGTCGGTACTGCTCCATACAACAAGAAGTCCGTTGATACCGCCAAGGCTGCGACCCTTAAGGTTATCGGTGTTTTGGAACAGCACCTCCTTAACCAGACCTTCCTTGTCGGCGAGAGACTTACTCTTGCTGATTTGTTCGCCACCTCCTGCCTTGCCCGCGGATTCCAATACGTAAGTCTAAGAACCTAGTGGATTATGAAACGTTTCAGCTCCCTGACGTGTAAAAATAGGTCTTTGACAAGGAGTTCCGCGCTGAGCACCCCAACCTTACCCGTTGGTACACTTTGATCCACAGCCAGTCTATCTACACCGAGGCCGCTGGCGAGCTCTCATTCATTGACGAGGCCGTTCAGTACACCCCTCCCAAGAAGGAGCCCAAGAAGGAGCAGCCAAAGAAGGAGGCTGCCCCCAAGGCTGAGAAGCCTGCTCCCGAGGAAGAGGAGGAGGAGGAGGACAAGCCAGCTCCTAAGCCCAAGCACCCCCTTGAGGCCCTTGGAAAGCCCACTTTGGCCCTTGATGACTGGAAGAAGAAGTACTCTAACGAAGACACCCGCTCAGCTGCCCTTCCTTGGTTTTGGGAGACTGTCAACTTTGAGGAGTACTCCCTCTACAAGGTTGACTACAAGTACAACGATGAGTTGACCCAGGTCTTCATGTCCTGTAACTTGATTGGAGGCTTCTTCAACCGTCTTGAGGCTTCCCGCAAGTACCTCTTCGGTTCCGCCTCCGTGTATGGTGCCAACAACGACTCCGTCATCACTGGTGCCTTCTTGGTCCGTGGCCAGGAGCACCTCCCTGCTTTCGATGTTGTAAGTGCTCTGTGAGGCCGTTGCATTCTGCCGTGCATCAAGATACTGATTTCAAATAGGCCCCTGACTTCGAGTCATACGAGTTCACCAAGCTCGACCCCACCAAGGCTGAGGACAAGGAATTTGTCAACGACGCCTGGGCCTGGGACAAGCCTGTCACCGTTGGCGGAAAGGTATGTATAAGAAAGCTACTTGATCGTTTTTCTAATCGGACTAAAACTAACTCTTTTTGAAATAGACCTACGACCACGCCGATGGAAAGGTCTTCAAATAGACGCTTTCAAGGGAGTAATAAATGGGTAAAAAAAAAAAAAAAGGGAAAAAAAGTCATTTTTTTTTATTAGCTAGATGAATCCATGTCGATGCAGCAAGAAAGTTTTTTAGCTGTTGTTCTGTCGAGTGATACCTAATGAAGCAATCACGTCACCATTTTTTTGTTGTAGCCTCTGATACGTCCGTCATTGTTTCTCACTCGGCCGGTTTGGTCTTGTTTTCTTTGGTGTATTCCATGAAATGACATGTTTCGTGGACTAGATTTAGCCTTGAAGACTACATCTAGTCTGGTCAACCATAATAGCCGCAGACAGGGCTGATCATCCAAATCCGGGTCTGAGGTAACCTGGCTTGGCTCATGGCCACTCACTCGAGGCCTTGACGTCCTGTAACACAAAAAATATTAACGAACACAGTCATATTACATGTTGTCTCGTTCTGCCAAAATATACTTTTTCTTTTTTACTCCAACATATAAATTTTACTAGCTATAGAGGTATCACCTAGGCTCGTCCCCAACCCCCCCCCCCCCCCCCCCCCCCGGGGGGGCTTCCATCCTTCCAGCGGAGCAGCTTGCTGCTAAGTAAGGGGATGGGTACGAGACTAGGTATCACCACACATGTAATAATTGATAATAGGCTCGTCGTGCACTGGGAATGGTATATATCCATTGTAAAGTATTTAGTGAATATATATAGACTACAAGCATGATAAAAACTGCACTTGATCTCTCCTTGCTAATAGTTTGCTAACAGCGATTTCTACAACTGCACCTTTCCCCCCCCCCTCTTCCGCGGCCATTTCAGCACTACATGTATATAGCCAATTCCGCCGGAAACGATAGATAAGCATGGACATAACTTTTTTTTTTCAGCGCAACCACAAGTATGTACAGACCGGCCACAACAACAACAACAACAACACAAACCCGGCGAAAAGAAAAAAAAAAAAAAAAAAAAAAAAAAAAAGTAAAAAAGAAAGAGAAAAAAAAAAAAAACAACAACATAACGACCCATTACCATAACCATAACCATTAGCCTACGCCTCCCGCCGCGCATACGGAATGTTCTTGTGCTCCTTCTGCGCCTTGCGCTTGCGCTTCTTCTCGACGACCTTGTCGAGCTGCTTGGGGTTGAGCTTGCTGTACTTGTCCAGGAGGAGCATCTTCTTCTGCTCGGCTGTTTTTTTTGGCGGTTTGTTAGTAGATGGTGATGGTTGGGGGGGGGGGGGGGATGCGTGGGGAGGGGGAATTACTTTTCTTGAGGTAGAAGGGCTTTTTGCCTTGCTTGATCATCTCGCGCTCCTTCTTCTTGTGCTCGCGCATCAGCTCTTCGCTACGTGTTTTTTGCGCCTGTTGTTGCTTTTTGGACTCCTGGTTTTGCGTAGCAAGATATCAGCATCACCAATTCTCACCACTTCTCCCCACCTCCCCACCTCCCCACCTCCCCAATCAAACCCCAAAACCAAGACAAAAAACATACCATACTCCTCACAACCCTCTCCATCTCCCCCCTCCTCCCCCCATCCCTCTCCCTCTCCATCTCCCTCTTCAGCACGCGCACCTCCTCCTCCCGATAGCCCTCCAGAAACTCATAATTGCGCTTAAACACCCGCTCGTCAAACACGCCCCCGACAGCGCTATCGAACCGCGGGTCCCGCGGCTTCAGCCCCGCCGGCACCAGCGGCGCTACCACCTCGCGCCGCCGCGTCACGGCCCGCTTCGACGACACCTCCTGCGGCGCGTGCTTGGACGTGCGCTTGAGCTCCTCGCGCGTCTTGCGCGCTTTCTTCTCCTTGGGCGGCGGTGCGTCGCCAGACTTGAGCGCGGTGAGTTGGGCTTTGACGGCGAGCGCGCGCGCGGAGGTGGGGTTGGCGGCGGCGGCGGCGGCGGCGGCGGCGGCTTTGGGGCGGGATTGCCGCAGGGAGGTGGCGGCTTTGGAGAGTGTGCCGAAGGAGATCTTGGAGAGGGCCGAGGTGGCGGTTTCCTATAGTATTTATCAGAACGAGCTCTTGGAGCTTGCGGGGAGCGTATAGATAGATAGATAGATAGATAGATATGTACCTCGGGCTCTGATTCCCCCCCGTCTGATGAGGCGTCGTCTTCAGCGTCGTGGTCTTCTTGGTCACTGCCGGAGCCGGATGCGCTCTCGTCGTCGTCGTCGTCGTCGTCGTCCACGTCGCTTGCATTGTCCTCGTCAGAGGGCGCATCATCGTCCATGAGCTCGTCCTCGTCCTCGACGTCGCTGTAGTCGTCAATCTGCGGGCGTACTTGGCGTAGACTCATGGTGTTTTGCAGGTTGGTTGGTTGGCAGTTGTGCTTTAAGTTTGAGTGTGTGTCGTCGCAGCAGCAGTGAGTGGGAGAGGCCGAGAAAAAAAGATTTAGACTTCGGGAGTTGCCGCGCCAACCCTGGCCCTTAGCTGGCGGCGGGGCCGTGTGTGACGACGGGGCCGCGTCGTTCGTTTGGGTTGCCTGAAGAAGGAGAGGAAGAAGAAATTGCCCAATCGACATCTCCCGCCGCCGCAGCAGCAGCAGCCACGGCAATTCTGATAAGGAGGAGATCGAGAGGGATATCTGGTAGAGAGCATATCTGATAGAGAGCATATCTGATAGAGAGCATATCTGATAGAGAGCATATATTACAGATAGAGATAGAGATACGGACAGACACACACACACACACGCGGCTATTGCTACTCCTCCCTTTCCGCTTTTCATGTACCTGCACCGGCTGGTGGTCTCCGCAGCCACCACAAAGGCCTTGTCGTTGTCGCGTCTCTCGTCTCTGCTTGCGGGCACTCTGGTCCTGAGGTTGGTTGGTTTGGTTGGCTCTTGCCTCACGTCCCGTCCTGCACTTTCTCTCTCTCCCTCTCCCTCTCATTCTTCTATTCTCCCAACGACAAAGAAGCCTGAAGCTGACATCATTACCCGCGCCCCACGCTAGACCGTCACCGATCTCTACAATGTCGCACATGTCCACACGGGCGTCGAGGCGCAAAGCTTCGGAGCCCTACCACCGCCGACAACAACATCAACAACAACAGCCCTCGGACGAGGAAATCACCTTCCGGGGACGACGAGGAGCAAGGGGAGGAGGGCCATCATCATCATCACGGCCAATGGACCGCTACCAGCCCCCGAGCCGGCCCGACACGAGACCTCCGGCGCCGCCACCACCACCACCACCACCACCACCCCCGCTGTCCCTGCTGAGGGGAAGGTCCGAAGGCAGACTACACAGCAGAGACAGGAACGAGCCAGCGAGGGATAGGACAACTACCAGGAGGGATCTGGACGGGGCCTGGAGCAGAAACGACCAGGAGAGGCAACCGACGCCCCATCACAATAGCGCTGGAACAAGCTATGGACACACCTACCGTGGAGGCAGCGGCCGAGGCGGGAACTACGACAGAGGTGAACCGGCACGCTACACCACCCATGGGAGCTCCACATATGCAACACCATCGCGGGCTCACCATACCACAAGCTTCAACGGACCCATCAGAACTGCAAGCGCGCCCGACTATGGGCGCAACCATTCGAGGAGCGGTTCATACAGCTATCCCGACACCCCCGTCTCCAGCGATGGTGGAGTAGCCCTCCCAAGCAAGTACGAAGGGCAAGACTACAGGAGAAACGACCAGTGGAGAGCCAACCTTCCACCGCCGCCGCCTCCGCTCCCCCCCATTCCCGGATATGCTAGTGTTAATAGAGACGACTCTTGGAGAAACGATGGCCGCTTTCCCCACCCCCCACCCATCCCAAGCTCAAGCTACAGAGGAGAGCCGCCGTATCCCAAGCCCAGCTACCCTGGGAGCACCCCTTACGCCCCCAGAGACTTCGGATCTAGCTCTCGCGAGACTTTCCGGGGACGTGGATCATCGCGAGACTACCACACGTCTACTCCACGACAAGAAGTTGCTCGCAGGTCCGAAAATCGCTACCCTCCTCATCCTCCTCCTCCTCCTCCTCCCCCTCCTCCTCACATTCCCATATATTCTTCTACCCCACTCCCCCCACGGGGTCCTCTCTCATCAGCGCGTTTTCGACAGGGTATTGACAAGCACTCGAGATACAGCTCAACCTCCGCACCACCTCACACACACAAACCATTTCCGCCTTCTCACCCCAGCTCTAAAGCTACTCGCGGGAAAAAAGTTCCTCACTACGAGCGGCCCGCTCGCCCTGAACATGAGCCCCGGACAGTGCCTCCCGCTCGCCTGGAACAAGAGCCCAGGACAGGGCCTCCTGCTCGCGGTAGAATGAATCCTCCTCGCTCAGACTTCCCACCTCATACCCATATTCCGCTTGAGAAGACAAGAAAAGCCATACCCTTCCCCTCCCCAGAATACCTCGACATTTCCCTCCAGCCCACACACCTCTCCTCCGCCACGGCGAATCGTGAGCAGCTCATTATCCTCGATCTCAACGGCACCCTCCTGGCCCGGAAATGCGGCCGCGCAAAATCGGGCTCCATCAACCCCACCCCGCGGCCGGGGTTGAGGGCATTTCTAAACTACATCTTTAAACATTTTAGCGTGATGGTATGGAGCAGTGCGCGGCCGGATAATGTAAGCTTGATGCTCAAGGCTTTGTTCACTCCAGCAGAGAAACAGATGTTGTTGGCCGAGTGGGGAAGGGATACCTTGGGCTTGACGAAGTTCGAGTTCAACCAGAAGGTGCAGGTGTACAAGCGGCTGGACAGAGTCTGGGAGGGCCAGTATCGGGTTGCATTCCCCATGGAGGGGAAATGGGACCAGACGAATACGATGCTACTCGATGATAGTCCGACCAAAGCGGTCGGGCAGCCCTATAACCACGTCGAAGTTTCGGAGTTTCTGGGCACGATGAGAGAGGTCAGGGAAGATAGGGTGCTGATAAACTTGGTCGGGTACCTCGAGGAAATCAGGTTGCAGGGGAACGTATCGGCATTCATCAGAACCGCCCCATACAAAGCCAGCGAGAACCGGGAACAAGTCGGGAGGAGGGTCTTGGCCGAGTTCGGATATGAGGAGCCTGTGGTCGAGAATCTCACTGAAGGGCAGTTGGAGGTTGAGAGGGTCGATGAGCGCGATGAGCGTTACTTGAAGCAGAAACAGGAGAAAAAGAGGCTAACCACCGAGGAAGAGGTCCAGAAGAAGATGGACAAAAAGGCGAGGAAGAAGGAGAGGAAGAGGGAGAAGCTCGAGGCACTGAAGGCCAAGAATGCGGAAGAGAACTCGAAGGTGGAAACGTTGGAGATTTCCGCTGTCGAGGGGTTGGAGCTTGACCAACATCAAGGGTCACCGGACCCCGACGACGTCTATGGTGATGATGTGTTCTCTGATCCGGGTGAACGGGGCCAATAGCGTTGTTTTCCTGGTTAATTGGCTAGATAATGTGTGTGCGTTCTTTGTAGCTAGCTAGTGTCGCGTCTATTGGTGCGGAGAATGACAAGAGATGAAGAGGGGATAAGTGGGCATATGGGCCAGGTTCGGAATCGATTTTAGCTTAAGGTCTTGTCTGTTTTAGCATAATGCGTGTAGATGGGCTTGGTAGAATTGCTGTAATGACCTCGAGAATATTCAAGCAAGGGAGAACTCGGGGAGCGAGGAATTCGGGCTAATATGTCGAAAGCTGAACAGAACATATTGCTCCACCATTCAGCTAACAATCTACACCTCGCGTTCGTGGCATCATATGTGGCCCTACTCTTCCTCGGGAGAATGGCATCTCAAAACTAAACTTGCTCCTCACTATCAAGCGTTTATCGCTAGAGGATGGTTGATTCTTTATAGCGGCCGGCTCCACAGTCACTTTATACAACTGCTTAGAGCAGTTACTTCCCCAGATAATCATTTCGAGAGGAACAATTAAAGGTGCTAACTGCAGTGACCATGACCATATAACGTCTTCCCTTGGCGCACCAGCGCAGAAGTGTAGGTTCAGGCCCATCACATAAGTTATATGGACCTTCCTTGAGGGGTCCTATCCTAATAAGTAAAATTTATAGTCTACCCCCAGTATGCTCGTAACCCGTGTGGGTGTATGTTCTCCGGTACATTGCAATAATCCAGTGCATAGTAGACTGCGAAGGCCGCGGCGGTACTGTATAGTGAATTACACACTGGGTATTGACTGTTTGAATTTCAAAGACAAGGTATGGAGTAGACCAACTCAGGAATTGGATGGGGAAGGCTAGCCAGTTGAGAGGGTGGTTTGGATTGCTAGTTTCAAACTGTGGATCATGGAAAATCACTCGTCCAATCACAAAATGTTTCAGAAGGCCTACTATGTCTCCCTCAGCATTTAGTAGTTTAAACTCGCAGGAATAGGTACCGGGGTCTTTGTGGGCTGAGTCAATTTGCTGGATATGTGAAGTGCTGCACCCTCGTCATATATATGTGCACCTGGTAATATATGTACATGTATTCCCACGCTCCCAAAAAGATAACTAAAAATCTCATATCTGATATAGTACTGACTGTCATTCGATTCCTCAGGCTTAAGGGAATGATTGCTAAAGTGTGGGGACACTTATTTGTGGTACCATATGGCTTTGGCGCCGTTAGTTCTCTGGTGAGGCCGCCGATGTAGTAAATTACTCGCGTGATAGATGGATAGATGACCCCAAGTCTCGGTTGTCATGGAACTCAGTGCTGAGCAGGGAAACGGAGTGGTAATGCCCACGGTCTCACCACAAAACATGAACATGAGCAAAAAGAGATGGAGCTGCGGGGAATCGAACCCCGGACCGCTTCTATGCTAAAGAAGCATTATACCACTAAACCACGGCCCCTTGGCATTAAATTCTTCACAGCCTTTTTTTTTTCGTAAATATCTAGCTGCTAAACTCTTTCATGTACTAGCGTGGCCTATCTAGGAAGTGATTGACCAGGATAAGGCGAAGTTTTCGGCGCATTAGCGTACTCCAAAGACTCGAAAATGCGGCGAGCTGCTGCTTGCTCTACCTTTTTTTTTCCATTTTGTTGGCGGCCGAATATCTCATACGCGCAGGTTATATGAACGTAGACGTACTTAGGTAACAAACCTTACCTTTATGCTAATCAGGATCGCCAGATTATCTGCATTGCATTCCAGTGATTGGGAGCTTTCTTGCGATCAGTTGGTTTATCTTGAAAGTAAGCGATTGGTCGGTTTAAACGTCAGAGAAGTGACAAGTCTTGGCCATGGCATATTACCTGCTATAAAGTAACTTAAAGATACATCCATCATGAGTTCCAAGTCTGTGTGTAACAATTTCTTATCTTTCAACTTCTATATACGTCAATTTCACATATACGTATAGAGTCATAGACAATAACTATAAGTATGGTGCCCCCGATCTTAAAGGTAACAAAATTTCAATCCCTTATAACTTCGCCACCAATAGATATCAAAAATCTGTCAAGAGAAAGGCTAGAAATAGTGGTGAAGAAGAGATTGTCTTGACAGATTTTTGATATCTATCATGGTTATGAAGTTATAAGGGATTGAAATTGGCTGTTTTTGTATGTAAAAAGCGCCAAGAGTGAACGGAGTGGAACAGTATTATACCCATTTATACCCCTCAAAAAGCAAACCTGCCTGAGCCGTGGCAGTGAGGCACCAAGCTGGCTAGAAATGGGCCCTCTTATTGGCCTTTGGAGTCAGATTGCAGCTACGATTGTTCTACTTCCATATGCGGCGTGTCACCTTGAAGACTGGGCGCACCATGCCTACATGTATTATCCCCGCTTTATATTAGATAGTGAGTGATGGACGTAGATTTCAACCACTGACCAAATTATAGATCTGATATTCTAGATCAAACATGGCAGCTCGGCCTAGTACCACGGAGCCTAGAATTTCATAGCTCCTATCCGGATTATTATCAGTAAATTTCACTATTTGTCATAGGATGCAGTAAAAGTTGAAGTTGGTACTTGTTGGGGCGGGGCCTGGCGGCTTCCGTTCTTGCTGTTCTATTGTAGGCCGATATATCGATAAGTGGCAAAGTATATAATGTAGAGAGAACACGTAACTTAGTAGGTAGTAATATCGATAGCCCTCAATGTCCTAGACACTTCACGAACCGGCACTCTCCATATCAATTGTCAAGCCTTGACGTTGACGGAACCGCCGAATGGAGTCACCGGCGAGGAAGAACCTATGCACTGTACTATTCAGCAGATCTTTACCAAATTATGCTGTCATGCTCCAGTCGATACTCGGGGCGGGAAACGTTTCCACCTGCAGCCTCCACGAATAGCGGGGAATACCAAGCTTTCTCGCACAGCCCTATCTATTACCACTATCAGCTCTGGTCAGGGGTGGCTGAATCCTCACAGGCTAGAAACACCAAAAGTACCGTAGGCTACTCCATGTAGGTACATATTCTTGATTTCGAACAGTTGAAACCGGTTTGAATCCGCAATGGACAGGACCAGGCCCTGGTCCACTGAGTTACCATCAAACAGGTTTGGTGTTTCAAACCGCGGATCAAGTTTCTAGAGATATATAACATAGCAAGGGGGAGTTTGATATAGCTACCTATATCGCAGGGAAGTATATAAAGCTTGAATCACCTGTGTAACCACCTCTCAAACATTTACTTACCGTTAAAAGGGCGAAACACTATCCACGAAATCGCCTAAATACCCCCAAAATACATGGAACGTTTATTTTCGGATAGTACCTGGTTCCATATCAACAACGTTATGTGATATACTCCACTGTACCTGGTTTGTGACAACGACATGCAAATACTACAAGTTAGTCTACAGCCATCTCAGCTGGCAACAAATTCATTTCAAACCCAACCTAGCTACAAGGAAGCCCTTTACTCCAGGGAGGAAGCAACGATCGGTCCAATGGATGATGTGATGACAACATAATCGCAGACCCATCAATGCTGCCGCCACAGAGTCCCGGCCGGGTGCTCGAGCCATATTTCCTACATGACAGACCGTGCATGAGAGTTCTCAACACTACATGAAGTACCTACTCTACCAAGTTTATGTACCTCTATGTGCTCTACTCTACCCTACCTGCTCTAGAGTAGAGTACTCTATGCACATATGTGACAGGTACATACGAGTAAAGCAGCGTAGTAGTCTCGGCCCCAGGTTCTGCACGCTGTAGTGTCCTTTCTCCCGACCCTAGAGCAACAACCCCATATACCCGGCAACGGCAAGAAGACCGGGGAAAACCAAAGGGATCAACATACGGACATGAAACGGCCCGAAAAGCGGCCACTCCGGGATCTACATGTAAGCTACACATGACGCGTTACCGGGTGCGACGTAGTCCCTGGAGCAGCCTGTAGAGGAGTAAAGTAAATATCAGGTCATGGCCATGCCGAGGATAACAGTTCAACAGCGGGGAAACCGTGCAGCAAAGTGGGGCAATGGGGGGGCTGGTGGGGGTGCACAGGACGAGTGATACATCATGATTACAATCGAAGGAGAGCCACACACATCAATCCACCACAAAAGCGCGCAACAAACACAAAGAATCACTCGTCGGCCGCGCCTTTCGATGATGACGAAATCAGGTTTTTGGGGAAGCATAGACTGGTAGATTATGTAGCGCCCCGCACCTTCTTTTTCCGGGAAAGGTCCTTCTTTTCATTACTGGCATCGGACGAAAGATCCGTTACGTGTTGGTCGTTGAAACGCTCTCATTGGCGGATAGGCATTTCGACCACATAAACGGTAGGAAACCCTTGTCCAGCGTTCCAAATCACCAAGCAACGATTATTGTTATAATTATTATCGTGGGTTTTTTTTCGTTTTATTTGCACTACCGCTAGATCAAAAACACGGGCGGGAGAAAACGCTTTCGCCAAATTCGATTAAATAGCAAATAACGGTGGATTTGTGTGCCTGACTGACTGGCGCTGTTAATTAAGCGACAGCGATGGTCCCGCGCACACGTGGGGAGGCTAGAGAAGAGTCTCATCTTACCAACTGTAGATCCGCCCAGGGCGGCCATCCAGTAAGGTCGCCGAACTGACTGGCCGATGATGTATTTGTGCATGTAAATAATCAAACAGCACCGGGTGTTTTCGTAGCAGAGGGTTGTTGGAAAGGTCAAAGTTACAAATGAGCCCGTCAAATAATTGCCTACAGGTAGGTACATGCCTCGTTAAATTCCAAGGCCCATGCAAAACCCGCAAAAGGAAATCTTTGATATCGGATTATACCAGCGTAAACAGGGTATCCGCGGTAATATACATAGGAGAAATTACACTGTAAAAACTAGCAAATGAATCCCCGCCCTCTCCACCCTTCCAAACCACCTCCCGCTATCAACATTCAGCGCCAATTGCCCAATCCATGACCATTTTCCGCCCAAGTATCTTCGCCAGACCGTCATTAACCCCCCCCAAATACATAGGAAAATAAAAGATTATAACTCCCCCACCAATTAACATTCAATTAATATCCCTCCAAGCCCCGACTTGGGGCGACAGGAAAACAAACCTCCCTCGATTGAGAATGAGATATCTCATGTGTGCGTTAAAAATAAAAAACAATAAAACTCCTCATGGTATGCCCAAACAACCCAAACAAATCAACCGAAAAGGACAGTAAAAACCAGGACCAGCAAATACGATAATTTTTCTCTCCAAACCAATTAAAAATGCCAAACATAAAACAACAAAAAACACCATCCCGTATGAAAAATATAAACAAGAAAGTTTCAAAGACTGCCTCGTCTAATAGGCACAAGGTTCAAAGCTGAGAACCAAGTGGGGCATGTAGACGTTTTTGAACCAGCTTTGAATGATGCAATTCCAGATTCCTTGCGAGGAGGAATTGCATTCTTTGAGTCTCACTCTCCCACTTCTCCTCAAGAAGGGTAAGGTTTTGCTCCGCCCCGACCTCCGATGAATCATCGGCAAATGATACCTTCTTCTTTTCCGATTTGCTCATCCTTCTCAAACCCAAGCTGCTCTTCATTTTGAGCTCCTTCTTCGATTTTTCGGCATCAGTTGGCTGGAAAAGCTTGTCCTTGAGGCACTTGACGTGTTCAGCCCTATCGCGCTCCATTCGGGGGAAGTAAAGTAAAGTTTTGTTCTTCTCCAATGCATTGACAATGGCGCTAAAGCCTTGGAGGTGAATCTCGTTCATTTCGCAGTAAAGTTCCCGAAGGGCTGTATTTTTGGTCAACATTGAAGCCAACTCCATCGCCCCAGGAGTTCCTAATGATTGTACTTCATTCGAGTATTAATATCGTAATCCGATTCTTGGTGGAGGTAGGGAGCTTACATTCAATCCTTAGAATCTCCAAGGTTTTATTCTCTGCCAAGCGCCCAAGTGGCTTATTCAAGCCTGCCCCCAATCTAGTCCATAATCAGTAATTTGTGGGTGGTATGTGGATTATCAAATACATACCTGGCGCTCTCGAGAACACCTTGCTCCCCTGAAAGTGCCAATTCCTTTAATGATGTGTTCTTGGCAAACATCTCTCCCATGGCGTTACAGGTTTCCTGGCCTGCCTCGTAGGGCAAGGAGACTTTGGACAGATCCAGAAATGAAATTGTTTTATTGACCCTCAATGCATCCATCAATTCCCTAAACATATCTTCCTTGGGATAATCAACCATCCTCATTGTTAAATGGGTTGGTGTAATGCCATTTCTGATACATTCAAGAAGCTTGTCATGTTGTATAGCAACTTGATTTTGCCCAATATAAAGATGAAGATTTCTAGGTTTCCCAGGAGATCGAGACATAGAATGCATGAATATAGCAATATCTTTGGATGTTAGGCCGCATTGAGTGAGCGTCAGATGATGAAGGGAATCTGATTGTGGGCTGGCCAGGTAGGCCGAAACAGCATCTATTGTCTCATTGTTGAGTTTTGTTTCACTGCTATAAAGTTAGTAATAGACTTTATATAACCACCCGAAAGCAGCGATCACATGCCTTAAATCCAAATCTTCCAATCTCCATCTCAATAATGTCTCCGCTGTAAGGAGAGCGTCGTCACCAGCGGTCCTTAAAAGCCTTGATAAGTTCAATCTGCGCAAGAAAGGAAAATGGGACATGATGTTATTGAAGCTCGGAGCATGAATCCGCCCAGGATTTCCGCTCAGGTCCAAGGATTCCAGGGTGTTCTCATGTGTGATTAAAGAGTTCATAAACAGCGTCAGAAATCTCTCAGTCAAACCGCATCGTGCGAGCTCAAATCCACGAAAATGTGCAAGTTTAGAGGCAGCTGCATCCACTAGCCAGTCAAGATCTGATTCAACCAACTCAATACCCGTGAGATCAAACCAGTCAACATTTGTCAAACCCCTCCTGCACAATGGCATGATGGCCTCCAAGATACCACATCCGTTCTGGGTTGTAGAACCCCCGGCACCCTCCCCAACACGCGGTTTCCTTTTCATACACTCGTAAAAGTCTAGTAGTCTCAACTTTCCACTGTAAAGCGCCAAGGCCCTGAGCTCATGTATCAACAGCGAACTCCTCTTCCCACCCGTCGCCTTCAAATTCAATGGTTGATTTGAACGATCCGTTAATGGCTCATACTCGGATCCATAAATATCGTGTACTTTATGCAAAGTCTCGAGGTTAATTCCCCTGAAGGAGATTGAGCAAAACGACTCATTCCATCGCAAAGATCTCATGACAGCCAACAATTCCAGATCCGTGTATTGCCGTCTCCGGGAGAATGCTGGTGGGTAAAGTACGAACTGCGGCGCATCTTCTACTTCCATATGAACGCCGTAAACAATGTTCGACGCATCGAGATCGTAGGCAGTACCTAAACACCACTATCAGCAAGGTTTTGCAAGGTTTAGAACGGTAGATGCTTACAATAAGCAGATAATGTCCGGTCAAATCCATTGAAATCGTCACCGGGGGTGCAGGGAATATCTGGCAAGGCTGCTTCATTCAGGTATTCTGGAAGACCTATAAAGGGCGTGATGAGGTAATTCGGCCTTAGGTATTCCGAGGCCTGACGGATCGCCTGAATAATGTCAGATGCGTCTACCGAAGCTAAGTGCAATTTTTGAGCTGCTCTACACGGAGATCTGAGGCTTTTATAAGCATAAGCCTCAAAGACGGATTTATAACACCTTTACCTAAATGAAAGAGTAAATGAATCATCCGTATCCGATATGGTAAGGCCAGATAAATTAAGGATTGCGTAGGAACTGGATGTGGCAGCAGACAAAGAAGTGGTGCTTCTGTTGGGGGAAGCTTTGGGTATTGGTACTAGATGGATTTTGTGGATCCCAATTACAAGGTAACATATCGTCGAATACATTTTCTGAAGGTCTTCGGAAGATCCAGCTTTATGGCCGTTCATCTTACCAGCCCGTTGAACCACTCGGAATATCTGAAAGTGTGAGGGTGAGTAGTCCTTCTCTGCCTCCAAACGACGAGCAATGTGTTCAACCGTGGAATTTGAGAATGGAGGGGGCGTTTTGGCGGTTCTCGCAAGATGTGTCACCTGTCTCAATATTTCCAACCATCCTTGAGCTTCCTGGGGCGTTGACACTTGTAGTACCGTGGAGGAGGGTGTTCCGTTCGCATCGTCTAGGTGATCTACTTGAACTGTGCATGCTAAATCCGCATCTCCACCATATCTGTACACCGCAACTATTTGAATCGCTGAGGTGACTAATGAATGCTCGTTGCTCAATTCCCCCACTGAACCTATCGAGGGAGCTCTGCCTGTTGTTGGAGACCTTGTCGGGATCCCAAAGGCTTCACTCGCTTTGTGCTCCGATTTGTACCTCAACAATTCCTCATTTGTCAAAACCATAAACTCCTTCTTTCTCCTCAACAAGCCACCCGTAGAAATAACCTCCCCCGAGTATACCACGAATTTATTGCTAGGACTGATCGGAACGTTATCTGATTGCGAGGAATCGATCGAGGAACTGCCGGAGGATTCGAAATGCATCCCAATCACAGGGCTGCCAGGATCCCGATCCCGGGATCTCAAGGATCCAAACATCGATTTCGGCCGCTGTGCAGGGCTCTTTGTAAGAACTCGGGGACGGGCATGGGTGCCAAGGTTGCTCGATACAACCGTGGTGTATTCCTGATAATCACCAGCACCATTACTGAAGAATGCGGATTTCGGCCTCTGCTTTATGACATGATCTCTCGAGGACCATGTTGAAGCTGGTTCGATTTCGGGCAACATCGTCGGTCGGGTAAAGAAGCCAAAGCTCTTTCGTCTAGCTGAGAGTGCACCATCGTGAGACGCGGACATTCTTCGGCTTGATCACGAACAGTGAGACACAAGCACGGTTGAAGCGCGAATTACTGAGACAACAAACAACAATGACGAAAATAACAGCTTGGGAGAACGCGAGACGCACAAGCAATGCGTCTCTGGTAAACAGAAACGGGTATTCAAAAATGGGTACTATGAGCAAAAATGACAACAAAAAGCAAAGGTATTGAATATTGGTCGTTGAATGGAAAGAGTAGCAACTACGAGAGAAATTAATCTGCAATCCAACGGCGGGGAGAGGGGCAGGAATTGGGTCAAGAGTTAGTAACGGGGGAAGTGAATTTTAGAGGCCCCATAGAATGTGGATTGTCAGGGTGGTAGGTGATGAGGAGAGCGGAAGGATTTGGGGAGAGAGAAGGGGAAGGAAGGGGTAGAAGAGTGTATGAGAGAGGCCACCCGGAGTATTTAGGAAGGATGAGCACTCGATGGAGGAGGAGGGGGAGGGGGGTAGAGAGGACTGGGGGGAGGGGAGAAGAAAGGTGGACGAAGCAAAAAAAAAAGTTGAAAGACAAATAGATAGGATAGCCTGAATTATGGGCAAGTAAAGTTAGATACAAGAGACAGCCTACCAGACACACGGACAGAAACCAGCCAGCCAGGAGTCCAGGAACCACCACACACCATGTCTACCACCCACCACCACCACCACCACCACCACCAAAATAATTGCAGAGAGACATCAGACAAGACAAACAGGACAGACGGAACGAACTGGCAGATGTCTGCCGAGCTCTCTAGTTCTCGCTTCAATGCTGGGCAGGATTACTTGCTTACCAGTGAGTACTAACACAGACCAGAAAGACAAGCACCTGCACCTGCACTGCAGAGAAAAAGAGAAAGACATATGCAACTGTCTGTCTATTCTAGTCAAGCCCTTGCAAGACCAGACGAGACAGGAACGAACGAGAGGTTGAACTCGAACCAAAACCCTCAACACAGCCATCTAAAGAAACCACTTTAACTGACAGCCACACGGCGTCACCCTAGGCCAAGCACCAAAAAAGCAGTATGATCCACCACCCGCTTGCGTCAGTGGTCCGGATTCAGTTGTCCTGGGCCTATCGTAATACCCCGCTGCTTTACGATCCCGGCGTACGGGCTCCTCTCCTTGACCCTAGCAAGTGCAGCCTTTCAAATCGTTCCTATCTGGTCGTGCCGCTCCAAGATGGATGTTTCTGCAGCCGCAACAGCTGCTGCTTCGTTCCTTGTCCGATCGGAATGCTGCATGCTGCATGCACAGTCCTCCAATAAACGGTGGAGCCTGAAGCCCCGAAGCAAAAAAAATAACCAAAATCTACTGGAGCAGCATGTCTCGTAGAAGAATCAGGCCTAGAAAGAATGCCCAGAGTTCTCTAGTGGGCACTTTGTACCACACACTACCAGCTAGGATCCCTGCACTTACATCTTGGTAAAAATAGACGGTTCGGTCCGAACTCGTCATCATAGCATGCTATGGTTGGTTACTCCTACATCGTGGGAAGGAGAAGGGGAAGAAAAAAGATTCCGGAGGAAAATTATTCAAAAAAAGGAATACGAACCCTCCTTTCCGGCAAAGGCCGAATTGATGTATCTTTTTTCGACACACCCTAAGCATGGGGAAGGAGGGAACGGTTCGATTTTCTACTCTACCATTCGAATCTCACTCCCCTGATGTTTGACACTCTGCCGACACCTGCGCGGAATTTTTGTTGAGACATGTCCGAGATTTTGCAACATCAAAACAATGATGTATGTAGTGGCCAAGTCACATCATAGACGAAATTACCAAATTTCAGCCTCCTGGGGAGTTACGGGACAAAGATCATTTCCTAAATTCAATTGTTGGAGCTACTGCGAGTACTTCTGGCGTTCTCCTCCGCTCATTTACCACAGCTGGGTACATGGTCTGCAGTTACTACTGACACTGCAATTTTGCCAGGATGGTAAGAGACACACCATTGTTCGGTGACTTTTCCAGGTTACCCTCTCTTCACCCTGTATGCAGATCTACTTATTCGAGATGTTGGGCGCGCTAAAGGAATTAAGAGATACATCCCCCCTTTTGTGCCGAGTCATTCATAACCGATCACTCGACCACCCAGCAGCCCGCAGTTTTGCACTAACTTTCGGTACTCTACTTGATTTCTTGACCTCTCCCCCCGCCCAATCTATGCTTAATCTAAGTAGCCGTGTCTTAAATCCTCCCTACTCTCTGTGTACTTTACTTGACTTTAGTAGGATGAGATATGTACTTCATGATTACGCCGCAGAAGTACTTAAGTCCATGTACTTACATATATGTACCTACCCCTACGGAATTCGGAACGCCGGGAAAAGTCTAAAATATTATGTGGGGTTTAACCCGGACGCGACCCAGCAGCACGGGTTTGTCAAACCAAACAGTACCTCTCGGCGCGCAATTCCTACATGGAGATAGTCGAGCATATTGGCTCGGTTGCACACAGGCAGAAGTCGTTTATTTGCGGGGTTGGAGGCATGCTGTCTTATAACTACGCACTACAGGACTCGATGTTGCGCCCGGGGTAGCAAAGTCATATTCTCACCAGGGTACGGTTCTTATCATGCTCTGCTCTGTACGCACACACGGACTAGCTGCGGTACTGGGAAGGTAGGTATATAGGCAAAGGTGTCTTTTCAGAATGGCGGCAGGTATAGTATGCCATGGTGCATGGTGTGTTGTTGCGAAAGCGTGTTTCCTAATGACTTCGTATTCTGGTCTCATTGTGTTGTCTGGTTGTTTCTCCTTCCTTTTCTCGTCATAATCAATTAATCAATCCGAGTCTGATAATTTCTACACTTTGTTTACTGATTCATATGATTTGAAAACATCCGCTATTCTTTGGTTCCATCTCGCTGATCGTGATCCGCACTGTTCAGTTCATCCCACGAGATGAATAACCTACATGTACACACTCAGCTCAGGTTCTGTTTTGACTGGCTGAGGCAGCTGACTGACTGACTAACTTCCAGTTACACATAGGTCCATCTGGGGTGATTCTATATATACCACCCATATACAATCTGTCAGCATGCTAACCAATTATATAGCGGCAGCATGTTTCTCGATTTTCGGTTTCAAGTACATACGGGTGGGTACTGGCCAATACTCCCTCTCCTCCTCTCCTCCTTGGGATGGGGTATAGATATCTATCCGTCACAGGGTTTCGCGCGTGTGGTGTGGATGGCGCGTGATTTGACTCGCCTGCCTAGCTGGTGAGTCCTTTCATCTACTGTGTTACATGTAGGTATTCTAATCTCTAGTACTTATATGGCTGAATGATAACTGATGGAAAAAAATAGAATAGACTAGGTAGGTACATGACTTGTGCATGTTCAACCTCCCTTTTTCTAGACACCCTGGCAGTATCTCTTTTTGCAAAAAAGAATAAACAATACCCCCCAAGTACGCGGCACGGGATCCCTTGCTGTGGGAGATACATAAAATTTCTTGCGCCACTAGATTCCCGAGACTAGTCGACACACTTGATCTGGTGTAATAATCTGCGCCCAGGATCCAAGTAGAATTGCATACTCAATTAAGGCGGACCCGAGAATTTCTCCGAAAAACAAAAAGAATCCAATCGCCGTACTACAACCTAATTTAATCGTGCCCCAGAGATAGGTGGAAAAAACGGTGCGCAGATGGATCATCACGTCCATCTTCCCACGCGGGAATTTATCCCCAGGAGGGTTGCATTGAAACGGTGATTTGCCATTTTCTTTAATGCATGACGACATTCGGATCCAGCCCAACTCCACACCGCCACACCTGGAGACCGAGACGGTGAGTTTTATATTACCCTATTCTGTAGTATTTAAACTATCTACTGGCTATCCCGCCATTTGAATAATTCATGGAGGAAGGGGTGGGGGTTGGGGGGGGGGAGGTGGGGGTGTCATCAGGTGTGCCTCGCTGTGAGAGTGCTCAGGAGCCGAGGTAGGGGGGTAGACGGGTTTGTGCATAAACCGCATCGATCGACAGATGTCACCACGAATGTATGCAGCTGGCTTAAGCTTCCCCAAGCGAGCCTTTCCCCTTCTCCTGGGTGGGTGGTGGGACGAGTGATATTGTATGACGTTGTACTGCACGACTGGGAGCCTGAGATGTCGGGAATGTGTCTTCCAACCAGAGAAGGGGGAGAAGGGGGAGAAGGGAAGAAATACAAGGAAGAGGAGAAGGAAGGGAGGAAGAATAATTAATTACATGTATTGATTGCAGCGAAAACGGGACCGACCTGTGTAAGGCCAAGACCGGCGACGGCTCAGATGTATTTGTAAGTGCCATTTTCTTTATATTTCTCCAGTGTTGGGTTTCAATTTCTGGTGATGGTGGTGGGATATAGTATGGTGGGCCTCCAACGTGCAATCCCGATGGAGAAGGCCGTGAGATCTGGTTATATTGTTACGTGCGTGTAATTTATGCAGGTATCCATTGCCGTACCAACCCTCACGAGTAGAGTAGGAATCCAGCTCAGTCGTCGAGTACTTTGTTCGGACCCAGACATCCCGGATCTACAGAGCCTATCCTGTGCTGGCTGATGATTAGCGAATAGAGGCTCAACTCAACCTTCATCCATAACAAGGCCTGGCTAGAGTGAGCTGAAACACAGAACCGGAGCTCCCGACCATCATTAAGCGGCCGATCCGCTGTTATGATTGGGGCAGATCTTACTCTGGCACGTCTGGGATTAGTTATTGTTTATTTTGTTTCCTGCACTTGCACTTGCACTTGTCTTGTCCGGGCTTTGCACCTTGGGGGTGATGGTGGTAGTGGGGTAGTGCAGATTGCTTTGCTGGTGGATTAAACTTTTGGTCTAGATCCTGCTTTCTTGGTGGATAATAGCTCAATGTTTCGTATCGCGAGGGATCGTTTGGTGGTTGTGCTCAACACAGTTCTCCTCGGACTCGGGCTCGGCCTGCCTTCGGCGTCCTGTGTTCTGGCCCATCCCGCCAATCATGGTTCCATCAGGCCATCTGCATCGAATTCGCTCAACTGTCCTAGCCAGCGGTGTAACTGATAACGTTCGTCTTGTCAGACCGCGCACAGGGCGGTGGAAGGTAGTATGACTTTGGGTGCTATGTGGGGAGCTAGTCAGTTGCCACCATTATGGCTGTTGTATGTGTTCTGGATGCATCTTTGGCTGTGGACGTACGGCCATTACAGATGTTCGTACGCGTACAGATGGGCGGTGCGAATGGATGGCTGTAGTCTCGTATCCATCCCTACCAGAAGGTTACCGTAGGCAGGATGGCTGTAACGGTAGAACGGGACTAATCGTGGTTGGCGGATTACATATCGTATCATGGATACATGTATGTATGTTAGCTGGCCGGGAAATCTACACGTTTCCTGCAATGCCAGAAACTGGATGAATACGAAAATAATAGATACCCCGGCTCAACCAACCGGTGTTCAAGATACTTTTCAGCTGAAACAACCCAGCAATAGGCATGGGGTCGGTGAGCAGCGAGCTGCTCGTAGGGAATAGTACGAGACTATACATAACTAGGGATCATGACAGGTAGTAGGCACCAGATATTCATAGCGGTCGATGGGATGTGTAAGGTGGTCTTAGTAACGGTGTCCACAGTCGAGCCTAACGAGACGTGTCACCTAGACATGTATGCGTACGTAGACAGGCTTTCATCCTCCTTCGTAATAGAATCATCCATCCCATCACCTATTGAGTCTCCCTACAGGATTGGATGGAACGAGATACGCAGTTCTCCCCGATATCATCTAATTATAAGCCTCTACGTCTGCAATACATCCATGCATCTGCCAATGCACTGGGTCAATGATGTCGATCTCGGCCTACTGCCCACTGCCCACTGGCTCAGCAGGGCTCAGCACTAGCAGACCAGATTACCGAGACCCTTGAAGTTGCCCCGCCAAGAAGTATGTACATCCCCTCTTAAGCTTCACAGCCGCAGGTCGCCAAGACACGAGTGACCGCGCATGATGCCTACTCCGGCCTTCTTACTTTCCGATCAACAATTAACAGCAATAATATTACTAACAACACTGACGAAGTTAAAGTATCATCCGTCACCCGTAACACAGCGCATAGAGCTTCTAGAAACCTGGTTGCTACTGGTCCACTGGTCTATGTTGGGAGGGGATCGGCAATAACAAATTGCATGTGGGTCATGATATTCAGTTGTAATATTATTACATATTATTACCTATTCAGTAAAGAAATTAGGGTTCGCGGCCAATCAGCCGTTATGGGTAGTTATGATGTGATGGCGATCCGGGATCACCGTGCTACTCTACTCTGGCTCTACTACAGGACCATATGATATGCAGGCCCCGACTCCGAGTAGGGGGTGTGGAGATCTCACCCGTGCTCTGTTTTGCTCTACGAGTCTATCAATAATGTTTCAAACCATCCGCTGTCTTTTGGCCACCTGTGCTCCACTGGTGTGTGGGTGGGAAATAAAGGGACGAAGAAAAAAAGCTGTGATCACAAACTGGCTTTCCCGATCCCATGTGTTCAGTCTCGAGTAATGACAATGCAGTCCAGTTCATTCAGTTCAGAAACACAAAAAATGGCGTCCAGAAACGACGTTGGGACTGATTTTGGGGCCATTTGATTCGCCGCCTTCCTACCACCCTCCCTGAATTCGTCATTGGGGCCCGCTTTTACCCTGCATTTGCATGTGGTCCTGTGCCTTTTGAATTGGAATGCGGGAGACTGAGACTGAGACAAACAGACGGATGCATTGCAGGGAGGGAGGCGATTAGGGTTGAGGGTTGATGTCACGCGTGACGTAGAGGATGTCTCAGACTGGCCATGGCAGAAGTGAGACAGTGGCTTTTGGTGGTGTTGGGCTCGATCTTGGCCTCTACGCTGCTCTACTCTACGCTGCTCTGATCTGGTCTATGTACTCTGGGGTGGAGAGATGTACTCTGAGGTAGATGTGGATCTGGATGGATGTACTCTGGGTGTGTGGGGTGTGGGGTAGAGATGCATCTTCTATGGGCCATGACTGGGGGATGATGACTATGGGGTAATGATGCATCTGCTGGCAATGATCGGTTGGAAGAAGCAAAGCTAGGGCAAGGGCACCACCTTGAACCAATTGGGCTGGCATCGAGTCTATTCACAGCCCATCATAGCCCATCACTCGCCCCACCCTATTTTCTCCACCTCACCAGCACCTCATCGGTCCTAAACCTCTGCGTACACGTACTCTCCTCCAGCGGCGTCCTCTCACCTTCTCCATACGCCAGCAGCCCCGCATGCGCAATCATGATCCCATTATCGATGCAAAAGCGCTCATCCGTCGCAAACACGCTCCCCCCCCTCTGCGCCGCCATGAGCCCCATCATCTCCTGCAACCGCTCATTACACCCCACCCCGCCCACCACGAGCACCTGGCTGCTCCCCACGTGCGCCATCGCGCGCTCCGTGATCTCGACCAGCATCGCGAAGACTGTCTCTTGGAGTGAGAAGCAGAGGTCTTCTTTTGTGACTGCTTCGCCGGAGGGGGTGAGAAGGGGTTTGGGGTGTGAGGTGAGGAGTTGCGTGGCGAGGGAGTCGACGACCGCCAGGATACCGCTGAAGGAGCAGTCCATGCCTTTGACGGTGTAGGGGAGGTCCAGCAGGTTCTGGCCGCGTTTGGCCAGTTGCTCAATGTTGTAGCCCGGCGCGGGGTCGTTGGGGATGTGCAGGGTACGCGCGAAGCGGTCGAGGCAGTTGCCGACGGCGATGTCCAGCGCTTCGCCGAAGATGCGGTAGCTGGCGGGATGTTAGTATACGGGTGAGGGGACAGTGAGGGGGAAGGGGGGAGAGGAAGGGGGGGGGGGGGGAGGAGACCGTTGTTCGGCGTAGGCGATCACCTGCGTGTTGCCGCCGGAGACGTAGAGCACCACCGGGTTGTCGGCACCCGTGATCTCGCGGCCCATCTCGATGTCTGCGCGGCGGTTAAGCAGCCATCACTCACTCACCACCGGGCAGGAAAGGGCAGAGTAGAACGTACGGCCGACACAATGATTCACGCCCACCAGCGGCTTCCCCCACAACAGACTCAGCGTCCGCGCCGCAATCGCCACGCTCTGCAGGGGCGCGCCCATTCCCGGCCCTATCCATCACATCACCGCCTACTCAGCACTTCTACCGCACCGCACCGCACTATCAGCTCCTCCGAGAGGTAGAGTACCTTTAGTATAGCAAATGCAATCAATATCCTGCACCCTCGTACCGCTCTCCTTCAGCGCGCGCTTGACCAGCGGCACGACCCACGAGCGGTGGTGCTTGGCCGTGTCCTTGGGCAGGAACCCTTCGCCAGGAGGAGACACGAAGGTGTGCCGGATGTTGGAGAGGATCTCGGCGGGCTGCCCGGGGGTGTGCTTGATGAGGCCGACGCCGAGCTTGTTGGCGGAGCCTTCGAGGCCGAGGGCAATCATTGCGGGCGGTGTGAGGGTTGTATGTGAATTGTGGGTGAATTGACGCGGGTTTCAAAACCTGTCTCGGTGATGTTTTGCTGTTTGGCTGTGTCGGTGCTGTAGCTCATCGATCTGCTGCATGACCGGCGGGGTTGCGTGCATGATGGTGGGGCCCGGGGGAGTTACCCTGCCGACGCAAAGACATGCAGGAAAATCATTACTGCCGCAAAGAAGGAAAAAAAAAAAAAGAGAGGGCCGTGCAGAAAAAAAACAGCCCCACCGCTCACACCAAACCACCAAAACACTACAGAAACCTCAACATCACCACGCCCACAACTCATTCAGATACCTCAATTGCTACAATTACACTTACAAGCTCACAGTTAGATCTAGACAAATGCTTAAGAATGCGCTCCGCCGCACCCCCGGCACCGGCACATCCTTCATCTGCCTCTTCTGCAAGCCCACCAGCACCACCGCCCCCCTCCGCCTCTCGCCGCTAAGGGGCAGCAGTACCCCCGCCGCCCTCCGCACCCTCACCACCACCCCCCAATGCCTCAAAAACAGCACTGGCAAGCGCAAGTCTAAAGCTAAGGCTAAGGCTAAGGCCGCCGCCGCAGCAGCAGCCACGCCCAGCGAAGAGAGCGCCCTCGACGAGATGCGCAAGGGAATTGACGCCATCGTTGCAAAGCAGCTGGCCGCGGACCTGCCCAAGCCGGCAAAGAAGCAGGCAAAGAAGGGGGACGGCAGGAAGAGTGTTGTCGGCGAGGATGGCAAGAGGAGGCCTATGGCGAGGATGGTGGCGGGGGTGAGGAAGAAGGAGATGACGCTGACGGAGGCGATGGCGAGGAGTGGGGCGAGGAGGAGGAGCGTGGGGGAGGAGGAGGAAGGGGAGGCGGAGAAGGATGTGGCCCCGAGGCCGAAGGGGTTGAAGGTGATTGATCCGGATAATGCGGCGTTGGAGCGTGAGTGATTCTGTATCTCTGTGTTTGTGTGTGGGGGAGTACTGATATTGACCCCGAATAGCGATCAAAATGCAGGGCCACACAAACCCACCCAAGATCCACCATGACCTCGACCGCGTCCTCTTCAACCCGGGCGTACACTACCTGCAAGACCCCCGCTCGCGCGTCTATAACTTCGAGCCGTACCTGCGTGACATCATGCCCGTGCACGAATTCGACTTTGAGGCCGTCGACTCGTACATCACCTCGTCCAAGGACACCAGGCTCGAGCACCTCGCAAAGTCGCTGGGCAAGAAATACTCGGGCTCCACCTCCTCCATGACCTCCATCCTCTCGCACTTCCACTACCTGCTCTCCCACTGGCGCGGCATCAACGCCGAGTCCCTCTCCAAGGCCTTCCCCGTCGAGTACCGCTCCTTCACGCAGCTCTCGCGCGCCCCCGTCGCTACCTTCCTCCGCTACAAGGGCGACGGGACATACGCCATCGATGCCGATAAGGAGTTCGACACGGACAGTATCCTCTCGCTCCTCGGCCGGTCGCTGGAGAAGATGCTCACCCTACCCCCCGCGGAGTACGAGTCGCTGCGCAAGGCCAACGCCGCGGAGCGCACAGACGACTTCACACAGCACCCGGATACATTCCACTACAGCACCCTCGGCGACTTCCTGATGCGCTCGCAGCTCGACGCGTACGACCCGCGGCTGCCGGGCACGGGCATGTTCGACCTGAAGACGCGCGCCGTGGTGAGCGTGCGCATGGATGTGTCGAATTTCCACCTGGGATCCGGGTATCAGATTAAGACGCTCAAGGGCCAGTGGGAGAGCTTTGAGAGGGAGTATTTCGATATGATTAGGGCCGCGTTCTTGAAGTACTCGCTGCAGGTGCGGATGGGGCGCATGGACGGCATCTTTGTGGCGTTCCATAATACGGAACGCATCTTTGGGTTCCAGTACGTTGGGCTCGATGAGATGGATGGGACCATTCATGGCGGATATAATAGCGGTGTGGGCGATAAGGAGTTTAAGGCTAGTTTGGTGCTGTTGAATAAGATTCTTGATCGGGCGACGGAGAAGTTCCCTGAGCAGGTAAGCAAAAAAAACAGTGCAATCATGATTTATCACTCGTAGCTAATAAGTGTGGGATTTTATAGTCACTGCGCCTCCATTTCGAGACCCGAGAAACACAGACACCGCAGATGTACATTATTGCCGAGCCCGTATCCGAGGAGCAGATTGAGAAGATCCAGAACAGGAATGCGCGCGACATGAGCGAGTTCCTCAAGAGCCTTGAGGAGAAGCGCGACAGCGTCATGAAGAAGGCCGAGTCTAAGCGGATTGCCGAGAAGTTTGGCACCATTGAGGAGGAGGCCGCTACTGCTGCTGAAGAGGAGGCAGAGAAGATAGAAGAGGCGGCGGCGGCAGAAGAAGCTGAGGCGGCAGAGGAAGCTGAGGCGGCAGAGGAAGCTGAGGCGGCAGAGGAAGCTGAGGCGGCAGAGGAAGCTGAGGCGGTAGAGGAAGCTGAGGCACTAGAGGAGCAGTTTGAGCAGGGGCAGCAGGGGATGGAGAGTTCGCTGGAGACGGAGTCGGTTGTGAGGACGATGGTGGAGGAGGAGACGGTGCTGGAGGCGAGGGAGGAGACTGCCGGGGAGGTTACGGAAGAGGTCTTGGAAGAGTTCTCTGAAGAAGCCACAGAGGAGATCCCAGAGGAGACCTTGGAAGAGATCTTGGAAGAGACCTCAGAGATCTCTGAAGAAACCCCAGAGGAGAGCTCAGAACTCACCTCCGAAGAGACCGCCGAAGAGTCCACCTCCGAGACCTCCGAGTCCGAGTCCACTGAGGCCTCCGAGACCACCGAGACCACCAAGACCACCAAAACCACCCCCCCGAAACCCACAAAGCCGCCCAAGCCACCCATCCTCGCCATGACCCTCACAACCTACAACCTCGTCAACAACCGCGCCGTGCTGCGGCCGGACCACCTCACCAAGCACGACAAGTGGACCATCGAGTACAACATGGTGGAGGCGGAGTCCAACGACCGCGCATGGAACACCTACAACAGCATCAAGGTGCGGCGTAAGAAGGCCGTCGAGCAGAAGTTTCTTGCCGAGGACAGTGACGAGGTGAGTGGGTATGTCAAGTATCTGCGGGCGCTGTCGAAGGAGGGGCGGACGTGGGCGGCGGGGCAGGAGAAGAGGTGGGGGAATGAGAGGGTGGTGTATAAGGCGGGAGGGAATTTGGAGTAGGCTAGAGGGGGGAGTGTAGGTTCTCTGGGGGGGAGGTGTGTATTGGTATTATGTACATGTACAGTTAAAAAGCAATTTCTACCATCAATTACTGTTGTGGCTATTATGTAAATACTTAAATCTTCTCTTCTCTTATGTGTTTAGGTTTTGTTTGATTAATAGCTGTAGAGTTGCTTAGGTCTCACTATTATAAGTCGAAGCTAGGAATGTTAGAACTTGTGCTGGAAACTACGGGTTCTGGTAACTTAATGTTGGTGGTACATATGTAAAGTCTTTGTGAGATATTTGGACCGTGCTATAGGCCGTCTAAACAGTCATTGATCTCCCTGCGGGCTCTCTGAACCGGTAAATTCCGCATGTCCAGGTTCTTTAATTACAGGTGCACAGCTCTCCCCAGAACTAGATCATTACGGCGACACGTGTAGTTGTCTCTCGCCGCTAATTAGGCCAACATGACTTACTGCCTTTATGGCACGCGGGGTTTACATATTCCCGCCATTTTCCCATAACTACCATTAGAACCAGAGGATCAGCGGGCGCACCAAGCCCCCAGCGGCCAAACAACACCACCAATCTCCAATCCCACCTCCATCCCGCCCAGGCCCAAGTATCTAAACACATACCGGCGAAAAATGGGGCTTGGCTCCCTCCCCTACCCCTTGTGGCTCCTCCTCCTGGCCCCCTCCCCCTCAAGGGCCACCTTTGGTCCCTGTGGGCCCCGTCGCTCCCTCCCACCCTCCCTCCCTCACACAAGGGAGCTCCATCGCCCTCCCCTCCCTGTAGCTTCCCCTGCCCCCGCCCCTGTAGCCGCCCCCATAGCTCCCCCGTCCTCGTCCCCATCCCCACTCCGTCTCCCCAAACCCCAGCCTTGTGCGCTGGAGGTAAAGGTGGAGGGGAGGTGGAGGTGGAGGGGAGGTGTGGGTAGGGGCGGCCACAGGGCGGGGGCAGGGGAAGCTATGGGGAGGGGCGGACGAGGGGAGTTCCCTTGTGGATGGGGGCGGTGGGGCTTGACTTCTTCCTCCCTCCTCCCGTCCCCTCTCCCGGAGCGCTTCCTCCTCACAGAGGAAGCATCCACTATCAGTCCTTGGGCGCAGTCCGAGGGGCTGAGAGTGGGTATCCGTCGTTCCGCTTGCCTCCTTCGTCCTCTCTTCCCCCCTCTTTGCCCCCATAGCCGTCCTCCTCCTAGTCCCCGTAGCTCCACCCACCCCCAGCCTCGTGCGCTGGCGGGTTGATCCTTCCCCCCCCGTACTCCCCCATCCTCTCCCGCCATCTGGCCCTGCTCGTGGTGGGGTTTTCTCCCCGTGCCCGTCCCCGTCCCCCATCGTCTCTGTCCCTGTCCCTCCTGGAGTGCTCCCTCGCGTAGGGAGCGCATGTCTCTCTCTGTTTCTGGGCTCTGTCCGAGGAACCGAGGGGTACGTGTATCTCCTGCCCCCGCCCATGAGCACCCCCCCCCAAAAAAAAAACCCCCGTGGCTTGTATGTAGCGTAAGTAGAGCGCGGAGCGTTGCGTAAGTTGCATCATGAAGTATCACTCGGCCACTAAATAACCTGTCCCAGCACTCCCTTCAGCTGGGGATATACATAGATTTATAGAGAAAGTGTAAAAAGAATACACGTAAGTACCCTAAGCTAATGATTATTCTATATGCGAAAACATTTGTCCACTGCTCTCCCAAAGCCAAACGAGCCAGGGGCTGCATAGTGTTGGGCACGAGCCTGTTCGAGACGCGACGAGCCTGACATAGAGCTCGAGCTAGCTCAGATTGTGGAAAGGAAGGCTCGGGATGTTCGAGCTCGGGGGCATGGCTCGACCCCCCCACTAGTATAGCTGAAAATAGTCATCTCCATGTACTTTTTTTCATTTCTAGGATCTATATATAAATAAATAAGAAAGAAAAAAGAATGTTGAATTGGCTCCATCAGGGATTCGAACCCAAGATCTCCCTGCTGTCGTCATAAGTTTCCTAAATCAGGGTGCATAGACCACTATGCTAACAGAGCTTGATGGTCTGCCTGCTGGGGGAGATAATAAGCTCTAGTAGCAGTAGCAAAGAATGAATGACTTAGGCTAGCTCGAGCTTTTCCAATATTAGCTCGAGTTGGCTTGAGCTCGTAAAAATGAGAGCTCAAAGTATTCGAGCCTAAAGCTCGAGCCCAATGCTCGAGCCAGCTCGGCTTGTGCCTAACACCACAGGGGCACCGCTGGGCTTTTGACAGGAGGGTCGAAAATTAAGTTCAGAGCCAAGTAACCTACATGTGAAGTGTATATCAGCAGGCAATAGTCTATATTCTCTGTTTCTAGGGCGTAAACACGAGCTAAATTTAACGGTCATCGTAGATTATCACTCGCCTCTCGAGGACCCACCAGATATCTAATATGGGTATGGGAGAGCTGCTTGACTACATGACCCTCTACCTTACTTACCTAAATTATCCATATCAGGCCGGGTACGTGTATCGTACCGATGCTGTACTCGGAATTTCCCAAAATCCAATAGTATGTGCGCTCTTGTGCGTTGTAGCTGGTCCGGGCTGGGGCGGGGTTTGTTGGTGGACTGGGATTTATTTTATCGCCTAGATTTTTTCTGTTTGGGTCTTGTTTGGGGCACTGTATATCATGAGCTTTTGTTGATTTTTTTGCGCTGTAAAGTTGTAGGACCGGGTACTATTTAGTTGGTGATGGATCTCAGGGTTCTTGGTGAACCAGGCGCCCCGTTAACCACGTTGATAGAATATCCATTAGCCAACTCAACCGACAAAGCGCCCCACCATCCAGAACAGCGGCTTAGCACAGGGTTAGGTGAAAATCCACACCGAACCCAAGGGGGTCTAAATTTCAAAACCGAGTGACAACCCATGAACACCTTTTCTCCACCACAACATTCTGCATACTCTGCCCGAAGAGTTTCACTTCCCCATCCTTCTGTTCCAGTGTGTCTGATTCACCTGCACTGCACGCTCGTCCCGGATGTAACCTCACACGCACACACGCAGCACAACACCAGCTGAACGAGATCGATCTTGCAGCTCAATATACGCCTCGCGAATCGAGCATGACCAGTCACTCCCGAGACAGCAGGTTCCGAATCTGAGGGCATTGGGAGACGACGTATGTACCTACTGCATGTATCTATGTAGAGTAATCCCCATGGAGGGAGGTACATGAACATACATGTAGGTACAGCTTCATGTATTGTGGCCGCCCGAAGAGCGCTAGTTGGCAGGAGAGATGCCTGGTCAGGGTCACAACAGCTATGAAGTCATCAGCGTTTAGCTCCTCTTGTCTCTGTCTCGCATACAGTTCGGTGGTCGATTCTCTAACTGCATCGTGTGGACTGCTGGCCAACCTGCATGCACCTCCGGCCTAGTGCACTAGTGAGAATGATAGCAATTGAGGAGCCAATTGGCGATGATGATACACTACGGACCTGCTACCAGAAGTGGATTGATGAAGATGCCCATCTACAATATCATCATCATCATCACAAGAGGAGTCGTGAGTGGTATCCGTTTGTCTGTCACGGGAATGGCGCAATGCGGCTCAACACCAGGCTTAGCCGATCACCCGAAAAGGAAAGTGGGGGACGATCGCGGGGTATGGTATCCAAAAAAAAATCCGCTTTTCACGAAAAACTTTCCAGACGATATATTTTGATCGATAGCTATGTAATAATTTCCCCCAAGCAGTTGAATACTTGACTCAGTGAGAAGAGAGAGAAGTATAAAAAAAAAGGAAGGAAAAAAAAGGGAAATATATAAAAAAGAAAAGGAAATAATGTTAACAGAAGAACCCAACAGAAAGAAGTCTTTATAGCCAGCCAGAAAAATAAAAACAGAAACCCCCCAAACCATACGCTATTGTTGAAAAAGACTCAAACCAACCCAATTTTTTTTGTTTTGAAAAAAATGCCGTTCCATAAAGAAGAAGATGTTTACCATCCCCTCTTTGCCATCCTCTCGCCCCCAGACAGCTTCTCAACGTTGAGTCCAACCATGGCCTCTCCAAGATCAGTGGACACCTCAGCAAGGACCTTGGGGTCGTTGAAGTGGGTGACGGCCTGGACAATGGCCTTGGCCCTGACAGATGCGTTTCCGCTCTTGAAGATACCAGATCCAACGAAAACACCGTCACATCCCAACTGCATCATGAGAGCAGCGTCGGCGGGGGTTGCAACACCTCCGGCAGCGAAGTTGACAACGGGGAGACGACCAAGACGGGCGGTTTCCTTCAAGAGATCGAAGGGAGCACCAATTTCCTTGGCCATGACGTAGAGCTCCTCGTCGGAGAGAGCACCGGCCTTGCGGATCTCGTTGGTAACGGTACGCATGTGCTTGACGGCCTCGACGACATCACCGGTACCGGCTTCACCCTTGGTACGGACTAAAGAGCGAGGTTAGTATCAGTGTGACCGGGATGAGTCATGGCAGATAACATACTCATAGCGGCACCCTCAGAGATACGGCGGAGAGCCTCTCCAAGGTTACGGCATCCACAGACGAAAGGAGACTTGAAGTTGTGCTTGACGACGTGGTGAACGTTGTCGGCGGGGGTCAAGACCTCGGACTCGTCAATGTAGTCGACACCAATGGCTTCGAGGATCTAGCATGTTGGTTAGTTTATGCTGCTACCCGCAAGAAATGGATGAAAGTCAATGTCAATGACTCATATATCGAACATACCTGGCACTCAACAAAGTGGCCGATTCTCGCCTTGGCCATCACGGGAATGGTCACGGCCTCCATGATCTCCTTGATCATCTTGGGGTCAGACATTCTCGAGACACCACCCTCCGCACGGATGTCGGCGGGGACACGCTCAAGCGCCATAACGGCGACGGCACCAGCCTCCTCAGCGATTCTGGCCTAGAGAACGAATTGTTAGAGATGGATGACACAAGACAAAAAGAAAGGAATGAGAAAAAGGAAAGAAGAGAAAAGTTTTCTCCCTCCAAGAAAAAAGGTTGTGAAATCATGACATACCTGCTCAGCATTGACAACGTCCATGATGACTCCTCCCTTGAGCATTCTTGCCAAACCGGCCTTGACGAGGAATTGAGGTGAGAGCGCTGAGCGCTCGACGTTACCGTTGACTGGGAGATCGTTGGACATGATTGCTGTTATTGGGATTCAAGGTGTCGAAATGGAGTAGTTTAGGAGTTTTTTATGCTATGGAGCAATTATATGGAGCGGGGTGGAAGGGAGGGAGAAAATGTGGGCGGTAGAACAATATATATATGTTTTTAGTAAGAGGTGATAATAGCGCAACCCGTAAATTACTCACACTCACCCACCACAGAAGGAGGGACGAAAAAAAAAAAAAAAACTTTGACTGAATTGAATAGGTAATCTGTTTACAAGGGGCAAATTGATACGCTTTGGGGGTGAAGGAAGACGAAAAGTAAAAAAGCTTAGATGAGAATCCCACGCCTCGAACATCTCTGCTACCCCACTGATTACCACCGGCCGAACACTCCCGCCGCCGCTGTCCGCTTGCCGTGGTAAACCGAGAACCTCCGTTGTGGTTTTTGGCTTCTAGGGAAACAAAACCACACATCTACGAAACATCTTCGTGGGTTAGGTGAAGAGAAAAATTTGTTTACTTTTTCCCCTTCCGGCCATGACCGGCCAGCAGCCAGGGAAAATGCACCTGAGATGTCAGCCACCCAAATCTGTCATGTTGCAGCACAGCAGATGGCGATAACGTTAAACCCCCCGCGTTGCATCCATCCCATCTCCATCTGATAACGGTGGTGGCAACGGTTGACATCAGCCTGCTGCCAAGGACTGATATCTACGGTACCCTGGTTTATTTTAGCACGACACAGGGTCTGGGTGCTTCGGGTACCTTGATGTTAGTGCTTTGTGGCGCTCAACGTCTGGCTGGACAGCTCCTGGAACAAAGCATGAGATGGAGCTAGTACTCTAGGTGCTGCTGCAGCTTTCCCCACAAACGTCCGCATTCTTAGATAAATGTGTTCGAGAGCTTCATACTTACTCAACAGTAGCCACGAGCTCTTAGAGAGGTTGAGAGGCCGAGGTTGAGAGTCGAAGGGAATTGAGAGTCAGAGCAGTGATTCCTCTCTACCCTCTCAGCTGGCCCTTGATCCCTTAGTAGGAGGTAGCATTAGAGGAAGGTGGGATTTACTCACATGTGAATAAAGACTTTCCCTCCCTCCTCTTCTTACCGAGTGTGGAGAAAACTCTTCACCCCCTGCTCGTCCCTGACCGCTACAAAGAAGAGAACGGTTTAGCCCAGTGGGGCCATAGCTGTTCTGGCCCTATGATTTTAGATCTCCGGCTCTTAGTGTGAGTTTTAAGCTCGC